TAAGCAATTGAAAGGTACATTGAAGCCAACCACCAGAGCAATTTCTTGTTTGAAAGGGTTAGAAGTTACCCCAGACGGTTGTAAATTGTTATCAACTTACATCACTGAAAACTTAGGAATTGAGTGTGGTGCTTTATCTGGTGCTAACTTAGCTCCTGAAGTTGCCAGATGCAAGTGGTCTGAAACCACAGTTGCGTACAACATTCCAACGGACTATAAAGGTGCAGGTAAAGATATCGACAGAGTAGTTTTGAAAGAAGCATTCCACAGACCATACTTCCATGTTAATGTCATTGAGGATGTTGCAGGTGTTTCCGTTGCCGGTGCCTTGAAAAACATTGTTGCCATTGCTGTCGGATTTGTAGAAGGATTAGGCTGGGGTGATAATGCTAAATCAGCTATTATGAGAGTTGGTTTAATCGAAACCATCAAGTTCTCGAATATGTTCTTCCCAGATTCAAAGCCAACTACTTTCACTCACGAATCCGCTGGTGTTGCCGATTTAATCACTACATGCTCTGGTGGTAGAAATGTTAAGGTTGGTAGACATATGTCTAAAACGGGAGAGTCTGCCCAAGAAGCGGAAAAGAAATTATTGAATGGTCAATCTTCTCAAGGTATTATCACTGCGAAGGAAGTCCACGAATTATTATGTAATGTTGGTAAGACTGATCAATTCCCATTATTTGAAGCTACTTATCAAATTATCTACGGTGATGAATCTATTCACAACTTGCCAAACTTATTAGAAGACCATTCATTATTCAAATAGATCAGCAAAGTCAAACCTTTTCATGTACATTAGATACCATTCATTTTGCGCTTTTCTTTTGGTTGGAGAGCCAATAGCATGACAAATTCTGTCGTTATTTATTTATCATATAGAAAATATACAAAATATTTTACAAAATATCATTTATTTTCATTGTTACTATAATACATACGAATTATACAATTTTAATAACCTACTCGACATCTGCTTTTACCCTCTTAGTTCCTCCATTTTCTTCATCGTGATTTCTCTTCTTATCATGCTTGGATCTATATTTAATTAAAAACTTTTCCATGAACATCTTCGAGTATTCTTTAATTTTTTTTAATTTTGCATTATCTAACTCTTTAGGAGGTTTAGTATCTGAATGCTTTTTCATTTCTTTAGCTACCAACGTTTTTACTAACTCCTTCGCACATCCTTTGATATTATCCCTACCAATCTCTGCTTCATATTTTTTAAGGAAGTTAGGAACATGTTTAGCAAAAGTTTTAGTCCATTGCGTTTCAATTGGTACTGGTGGCGCTGGAGGTATAGATGACTTAGATTTTTTGAGCTTCTTACGTTTAAGGGCTTGTCTTTCTTTTTCTTTCTCAAGTTTCTCTAGTTTTGTCTTCTCTTCGAGCGATTTTTTCTCCTCTAGCTCCTTCTGGGATTGAAGAATCAATTCCTGCAAAAGTCTTTCTTTTTGTTGAATTTCTCTGAATTGTTCCTCCTTTTCTTTTTTCAACCTTTCTTCTTCTCTCCTTGCAAGTTCCTCCTCATTGTAATTCCTTCCATTGCTTCCCAGAATTGGTCTTTTCGCTGGCTCATTGTAAAGAATAGGTTTTGGGCCCTTCGGGCCCTTTGGAACTTCCTTAGTTGGCCTTTCCCATTTAGAAAGTCCTAGCTCAGCATGATAATAATAATTGGTTTGAGTATTAGGGTCAAATGCAGTTTGCCAACCATCTGGTAATGTCTCGTCAGTTTCCACATGCTGCGGTTCAGAGGATTTTCCTCTATCTGGTGATCTAGATCTAGATCTTGATCTTGCATTTCTACCGTACAATGCAGGCGAGTTGGACCCTTTATCGTTTCCAACATTCTTGGGAATTCTATACGCCATTTGTAACTTGCCCCATTCAGCAAGTAGATCTGATGACAACTTTTTCAAGTTGTCGTCATTACTATTAGCATTTATATCTTTAACAACGTCCTCAATCTGGGAAGATGAAATTTTATTACGAGTCACTTTCGGCCATTTAGCTAAGATAATTAAAATCTTACTTATAAGTTCATTATCTTCATCCTTGAATGCTTTGATGGTTTGTGATAAAGTCTTATAACCATGAACTCTTATAATAGAAGAGTTTATATTATCATCGTTTGTCAAATATATCCTCTGTATTAATTTTTGAGTTATATTTAAATCCTGGACTCTCATCAAAGCACCCATTACCTTCGAAACATCACCCTCAGTTAAGGCCGAAACCTCTATTGATTTAACGAATGCTTCGTTAATAATTGATTCATCGCTCTGTTGTTTGGACCTAAGATGCTTATTTTCCTTCAACCATTGTCTTTCCTGTTTATGAGTAACACCTAATGCCTCAGAAATTCCATCCGGTAATAATAACGCAGCATCAGTTTGAGTTTTTCCACCCATCCACTTAATACAATTTGGTTCACCACAATAGCATGGTTGAGATTGTGCACCATATCTATCAACATTATAATCGAAGGTTATTTCTTCTCCTTTTTGAATATTTCTCTTGGAAAATATACCCATTCTCAACTTATCACCAACAACCCATTTATCAACATATGCATTTGGGTTACATGAATGGTTACAAAACCGAGCTAATGAACCTTTCATAGTTGCATCAATAAATGAATCTTTTTTTAACATCATAAAATAAAAATGCTTCAACTTCATAGTATCATAATCAACCATTCTTTTCCTGAAGCTTTCTTCGTCAATCACCTCACCTATATATTCGTAGATGAAGCTTGATTCTGAAATATTTTCGTTGGCCCTCAAACCGTATCCTTTTAATTCCGTCTGAATTACGGTTACATTAGCATATTGTTTTTTCTGAAATCTTTGATTTTGACAGTCATTTCCACAAGTACAGAATTTATTACTACATTCGACTGAAGTCACCCTATTGATACAATCTGAATCTTCGCCACACGCCATATTTTGCTGTGTCTCTGAATTCCAATTTTCATAACAATCACAGGTCATATGTTCATGTTGTCCGGAGGACCCAATGATCTTAGAAGAGTATGTACATTCTTGAAGTTCACTAAATGTACCTCTAGCCTCATCCGTCTTGTCTTCAGATTCTAAAAATAGTTGAGGAGTATGCTGCTTGGTTTTGACTTCCAATTCTTCCATATCTGACATATTGGACAATATTTTCCTCTATGAATAAAAAACCGTCCCCAATTATTTATTTTGATTATCTTGTAAATACAATACCAAGGAATGTAGATTTTGTATTGTTATTGAGGAAGCCCTTATTAAGAAAACAATTACGAATCTATTGAGATTATATCGATTAAATATATACTTCAATAATACATCCATTGAATGCTTGAAATTTTATCAAGTTACTTACTCGTATGAAAATGAACAAATTACACAAAACCAGTGGCATACCCTCCCTCTAGAAACCTAAACAGTCTATCAAACTAGCTTAATATATTGCTCATTAACATAGTCAATTTCTCATTAAAATCCTTGCTCATAGTTTCACTCTTCTGAATATTAGAACAAGATTGAAATAACTTATTAATTTCGTCTAGAGTATTCTCTACTGCGTGAATGACTTCCTTATCACCCAAGTTTCTTGTTGGGCTAAAGATTTTCTTAATGATAGTCTTATAGCTCGCTGTGTTATTACTTGTTGTAGAGCTCCGTCTATTCTCATTTTGATCAGTATTGTTGTTTCTGATACCTTTTGTAAGAGCACTTTGGAGGGATGGTTTTAGTGGTTCTTGGAGCGAGCCTAAAGGAGTTCCACAATTACTAGACGCTTGGCTATTAGGGCTGGTTTCGGGTCCCCCGCTACTAGCTTCTCCTACATTCATTTCGATCATTTTGATTTCCCTCGCTCTTAAACTTATAAATACCGACCGTGAAGTTACATTTTCAAACTGGCAATTATTTTGATAGAACAATAAATCATTCTTCATCGATGTCATCACCTGCGACTCTAATTTCGGGTTTATTGGGCACGACTGAAGAATAAATTCAGGACGAAATTCTTCTGCAAAAGCAACATTTGGAAATAAAGGTCTGTGTTTAATAAGCGGTGCAGTATCGTTTACTCTACTTGATGTTATTGTGCTTTCATCCTCATAATAGCTATCAGATTCATCTCCACTTTTTTCCATTAAGGTATTGATATTTAAAGTTTTGTCAATAGAACCGCCAAGTGAAACATTAGCTTTCATAATTACCGAGCATTTAGTTTTGATAACACCTTTGTTAAAGTCGTTGATATTCTTTATTTTGCAGGAGTCATGCAAGGAAGATGTATATATGCTTGTGTTGGATCTCTTAATCCCCAGGTGTAACTGCTTTCCTTCTTCTTGAATTATTCCAATACTATTTCTTTTGTTATTGCTGTGATTATTATATAAATCAAACATTGATTGTGCTCTAGACATTTTGGTCGAACTTGAAGAATTATGTGGAATATTACCAATATTTGAATTATTATGATATAACAGGTTATCGTCCATCTCAACAACTGGTGAAGGAGTTCTTAAGGAATGGACGGAATTTCTTTTCGATAGATTACCCAAAGAAGGAGGAAGAAACTCATGGTTTTCTGTATTAAATCCAATCAGGTTATTAGTCTGGTTATTAGATGGGTTTACATTTGGATTTGTATGTTGGGTATTAGAAAATGAATTTTTCCATTTCTCCATGAAGCTTCCTCCTAATTTTGATAATGAATAGTTTGATGCGGAAGATGACAAAGATGAAGTTAAGGATGACGATAAGTAAGCCATAGATGATGATTTTGAAAGGGAAGATCTAGCTGGAGTTTTTTGAGCAATAGGAATAACGCTGGTGCCTACTTCGACTCGGGATTTGAATGGTGTGGTAGTAGTACTAGCTGAAGACTTATGAGGTATTTCCCAACCTTTTACTAATGTGGTATGAGTTGGCGAATTATCAGAAGAACTATATGAACTAGCCGTTGAAGATTTGATCGGTATTGGTATAGTAGGCACAGGTTTTGATCCTCCCAATGCGTTAATATGGTTCATATCACCTGTAGAACTGAATGGTTTCTGTTGTACTGAGGAAGGTATATCAAGAGAATCATTGCTAAAGGCATCTTCATTTATGAATTCCTCACTCTTACTTTCAGGTATTTTATCAATTGAATGTTCAACCCGCTTATTATCATTTGAACTCTCAGGCGTATATGAGTTTTCGTCTTCATAATCATCCAATATTGAAAGCATTTCGTTATCAGGGATTAATCCATTTATGATAAAAATCAATTTTTTAGCTACCACAGGGTTCCCAGTCATAACTATCACTCTCGTTATTTCCCGTGTATTACTCCCGTCATTACAATTACTAAATGGTTTCGTGGTCAACAGCTTTCTTAAGGGAATTAATAAAGCCAATAAACTGGCTAAAAATGTCTTGGTGATTGTTGTATCTGTGTTTGGAGAAAGAATGAAATTATTGATGCTTGGGGAACTTTGGATTGACACTGGATTAGAAGCATTAGCAGTATTATTATATTGGAACTGAGAATTGTTATTAAAACTACTATGCAATTGATGGGTATTGTCATTATTCATGGATCTTCCATCTTTAAATTGTAACCAATTTAACACTTCTGAAATCCAGTTAAAAAGCATAGGATTTACTCTTGAAGAGCCGTTCATCGAAGACCTCATTAATGAATTAGAATTAATTAATTTTGGAACATTAGTATTGTAGTGAATTAGCTTAATTAATTTTATTAGCTGGTTATTCAAGTCTAGTTCATTCTGCAAAAGATAACTTGGAAATTGGATTCTCTTGTTTACAATGTAAGGGCAATAGATATGAGAATGGTTTGGAGAATTATTCTGCAAGCTTAAGCTTGAAAGACTTAAATCATTCATACTATTATTCAATGTTAATATCAATTTTTTAATGATTAACTTTTGTAATACTATAAGGTAATGCGATATTTCATCCCAATTATTAAAAATAACATCATTTAGATGATCATTCACAGATTCAAGTGGTATAATTAAGCCAATAGAAAATCGACTGTTAATTCCGTTGGTTGATTTATTTGCTGAGCCAGAATCCGTACTAGTAGATCTGGAATGGGCTATATTGAAGGCATAATTTTTAATCGATGTTTCCTTGATAGGAAGCGCGGGACGTGGTTTCCATTGTGCTTCAAAATTGTCATTGAGACCTAGTATCTCGTTGTTATCTGATATCAGAAAAAGCCTTGTAATTAGAATAGACTGATTTGATCCATAAGTCAGATTATTCAATGTTGGTAAAATATGGATTTTAGTTGTACTATATGTTTCATTTGAGGGTAATCCACATCCAAACATGTAATCATTTAATTCACTAGCGTTATGATATATCTTTGATGTCAAAATGTTCTTGCTATTTACATTATTAGAACTGCTATTTCTTGATACTGAGGGAGGTCTCGCTATGTGACCTGGATTATCGTTATTCTGAGCTGCTGAATCGTATAATACCTGCTTTGATCTTAGATTTCCTCCGTCCTGTGATATTATTATTCGAAAAAACTTATTATTCAATTGATACGGTTTTAACTGTAGAACATCGGACGTTCCATATAAAATCTCCCTTGAGTATGAATCTTCAAAAGTATTTACATTTTGATAAGAGTTCGTATTCGGGTTGGTGATGGGACCATTCTTGGGTTGGTGATTTGCACCATAACTATTAGCATAAGAATTATTAGCCCCGGTTTGGCCTGTATAATTGACATTCCCGTTTGAGTTATGGTGATTAGGTCCCGGTTGATTCTGTTTAAATAATCGCCCTAACATCTTACCTTATATCTTTAAATTGATTTCCGATAGCGGTAAGATTAGTAATAATGGCCAAGTATCTTTATATGTTACGCCGTCCTATAAGGAAGCTTTCTTAAATGTTGGATTCATAAATAGGATTATAATACTAAAAATAATCGAAAGATAAAATCTGAATCAAAAAAATGGGTAACTTGCTCTGTTCAGTGGAATTATGGCAAATCTAAGAAGCCCAATTTTTATATGTATGAATGAAGTTTTATTGTAGCAAAATACACTAAAGGTTGAATAAACGATCTCAAATGCAAATAATGATTACTATCCTTCTATAGTATAAAATATTTGATGATCAACTTTTGTTATTAAGCCTTTGGGAAATAATTTGTGTAATTTACAACAAAATAATTTAAAATCAGTGTTACGGTTCCGCATTCCTAAATTGACGATTTTGTACAATGAGTTTAATGGATCTAGAATAAAACAAAATTTCATTACTTTTACTAAAAAAATATTTATTTATATAACTCTTTTAAGCTGTCTTCTAATATATTAATTAAGACGTCAGCATGTTTGTTTTCGAAAACTAACGTAGGTCTCAATCTAACGGTGACTTCACCGCACCCACCAATATTAACACCTTTGGAACGGCATGACAATAATAATTTGTTTCTTTCTTCTGGGTTTGCACAATCCCAAGCAATAAAAGTACCCATGTTTTTGCCTCTCAAGTTCTTGACTCTGTCTGGGTACTTAGAGAAAACTGTTTCCAAGCTCTTGTATAAGTAGTCTCCGACTTGTGCTGTTTTCTTCACAAGGTTGTTCTTGGAGATTTCTTGATAGATACTTCTGGCAATCAATGCTTTCGATGGATCACCACACCAGGTGTTGAACTGTCTGAAAGGTTTATTAGGCTGTAATTCGGGGTCACTAAAGTAGAAGCCTGCAGCCTGAAACTTCTTCGAAAAGGAAACCATTTCAGGAGGTTCAGATAAATTCCAATGTTCATGAGCCCAAAACTTGCCTGATGCTCCTACTCCGGTTTGGACTTCATCAACAATCATTAATATTTCGTGCTTCTTAGTCAAATCTCTTAATCCTTGGAAGAAGAATCGAGTTGCATGTACATCACCTCCTTCGGATTGGACTGGTTCGACCACGATGGCGGCAATCTTATGAGGTGGGTGTTCTTTGATAATATCTTCTAGAATCGCAAGACAACGTTCTTCTTCTGCATGGTTTTCGTTGGCAAATTCTTCCAATGGGTACTTCAATTGAGGGAAGGGTGCTTTTGGCCATGGGAACGCTGGAATATCCAACTTATGAATAGCCTTTGATCTAGTAGTGGATAAAGAACCAAAGAGTCTTCCATGGAAGCCCTTATCAAAAGATAAAATCACCTTTTCTGACGCACCAGGTGCTTTGTTTTCCATAACAGAAGCCAATTCTTCACTCGTGAAGTCCATTGATCCCCTGTGCTTTGCTTCTTGGTACATAAATGCAGCCTTGTAAGCAGTCTCATTGGCACATGATCCTGAAAGAGCTGTCCATACCTTATTCATACCCGGAGGAGCTGCTGCTAATATCCCTTCATTCAATATCTTTCCATAGTCAATTGAAGGGAAACAAGCCAAAGCTGGTCTGTTTACAAGTGAATTGATCATTGCCTCCAGCTTGGCAGTTTCTATCAATGCTGGATTATTGTATCCTAACGGGATCGACGATATTTGACAATAAACATCGAGCAACTTATTACCGTCCGCATCTGCAATGTAATTTCCGATTGAATTATAATAGTCTGCAACGAAGTTTGATGCTCTATTATCGAACACCTTTCCCAACTCTTTGTTTAATTTGATTCCACTGGGTCCAGGGATTTTCTCAGTATTCAATTCTGGTCTTGATGGCTCATCTGGAAAATATGCCCCGCATACTGAAGAATTGGAACGTTTAATGGTTGCTAATGCTCTACCAGCACGGTTTCTTGAATATAAACGTGAAACTCTAAGCATTTCTACTGATAAAAGGCCTGTTTTGTAGTTATACCTCGATAATACTTGTTAATTCCTAAATTTTCAGTAAATAAAGTAGATTGTCTAACTAATTTATAGTTACAGTTATGACCCCATATCCAAAATCTTTGAGGATCTCGATTCCCGGTGGGACGCAAAAAATCGCAGCCATCGTTTTTCGCCTACTCGATTCGTTTATACCTCCAACCCATTAGATAATCATACACTTGTTGTGCGGATGTGGTATACCGGTCTAAATGTCTTATAGTATCACCTAATTGAAACTTTTAATAGTACGAAAAGTTGACTCTTTCGAAGCCTATTTTTAGAAAATTACTATATAGCAATTCTTGATTCTCGAGAATTATCCAAAATGCAAAGCTTGGTATTGCAAGTGAGATAGGATTATGTATCTCGGGGTATTGCAGTTCCATCTAACTCATTATATTGGCTATCATATCAATCTAAAATCGGAATCTCTGAGTAAAATTTCACTACAGCCTCTCTTATCTGAACGTGACCGCGCTGAAATTGATTGGAATTAAAACAGCGAGTGGTCTTATTATATGCATTAGAAGAATAAGAAGATTGTCTAAACTAAGTTATTATACTGAGATAGAGACCACGTTAGTAGAAATGGCACATAATCAAGAAGTTAATAATTTGAAAAAGATTTTTAATAAATTAAGTGGGCAACCTAACTCGTACTCTCGCAAATCGTCGTATACATTTGGAAAGACTTTAGGGGCTGGATCGTTCGGTATTGTAAGGTATGCGAGGAACAACGAAACAAACGAAGAAGTGGCTGTAAAGATTATTTTGAAGAAAGCTTTAAAAGGCAAAGTGGAAACGATCACTGATGAACTCAACTTGTTGCAGGAATTACTGCATCCCAATATAGTTGGATTTAGAGATTGGTTTGAATCGAAGGATAAGTTTTATATTGTAACTCAATTGGCTACCGGGGGAGAGTTATTCGATCGTATTATCGAGAAGGGTAGATTTACAGAGTTCGATGCATCATTGGTTATCGTTGCGATGTTAGAGGCAATCAAGTATTTGCATAATAAGAACATTGTCCACAGAGACTTGAAGCCAGAGAACATATTGTACTTAACACCGGCGGATAATTCGAACGTCGTATTGGCTGATTTTGGTATTGCTAAGAGATTAGAGAGTCCTGACGAGAAGCTAACCTCTTCCGCCGGTTCTTTTGGGTATGCTGCCCCTGAAGTCATTTTGGGTACTGGACATGGGAAACCCTGTGACATCTGGTCTTTAGGTGTAATTACATACACATTATTATGTGGATATTCGCCATTCCGATCAGAAAATGTTAATGATTTTATTGAGGAAGTCAAGCATAATAATGCAGTTATATTCCATGCTGATTATTGGAAGGATGTCTCTAAAGATGCCCGTCGTTTCATCATTAAAGCTTTACAGTTTAATCCAGATAACAGGCCTGATGCGGAAACATTATTAAATGACAAATGGTTGGTATCCATAGCATCTGAACATAAGGAATTAGATTTGTTACCTAACTTGAAGGAAAACTTCAACGCAAAGCAAAAGTTTAAGCAAGCTATTGAAATGGTCAAGTTGAATAACAAGATCAAGAAGTTGAAGGAGTTACAAGGTGATGATGATGATGATCCAAATGAAATTGATTTATTTGGAGAAGAAGGTGCAGTAATCTCAAGTGATGTTTCGTCAAAAAAAAGTGGCTATAGCGCTGAATCTGAAGGACCTTTAGGTTCATGGAAAGCTTTAAGCAATGCTCTAGGGTCTATAGATAGTCGAAACTCGACTTCTTCTACGTCGTCCACTAGTGCGCCTAACAAAAAATCAGATTTAACTAGCGATGCATTCGTACAATTGGTACATGCAGCCACCAAGAACAAAGAAAGAGTAACCAATTTCAAAGACGGTGAAGACTTATCCGCCAATTAATTGAGCATATATATCTAATACATAAGTTATTATTTGAAAATTTTTTAGGAGATTAGCGATCGCTCTATGGTTTAAGAATAGTCAAACCGCATAGAAGTTCCGTTCTCAACTGTCTGTAAAGGAGCGTTTGAAAATGATTAAAGCACGATATGTAATGCGTCATATTTATATGCAATTCTGAGGACTCAACATCCCTCCACGTGGTATTGCATGATGGAAGCTTGTTGAAAGCTTCCAAGGAACTCCATAAAAAAGGAAAGTTAAATCATCTCTATTTAGTTAAGTCATCTGTCACCATGGAGATTATGGCTTATCCAAGTATACTTTTCAAATGCCTTCAATATGTACATGGAATCAGTTTACAACCGAATTGTTATCTCCTCATCTACCGTAATGTCTTGAAAACAACGTGTAACAGCACCTGAGTAATTGGTATTATCGTCATCCCTTTCGCATCAATTTATCACTCAACGTGCATCTAATGTATTGTAGTAGTCATCATCTACTTTGGACTAGTTTTTATTATCCTTAGCCTTCTGGTGAGCCTTGGGAAAATAATTAAGCCTAATTCCAAATATAATAATACCTAATAATCTAAAGTAGCTCAACGTATATGATGACAATACTAGTTTTTTCTGGTCCCTAAATCCGACGGTGAGGAGCATAATTAGCCACAATTTAACCGATTAGGGAATTACATTAATTGTAATTAATAACAATAATAATTCATTTTAGGTTCGGTTCAACAACTCCTCTATCTTAATTACATAGCCGTAGTCCACCATGTCGATTTATTGAACCGATCCTTCTAGAACAGTGGTGCACTAACTGCAAATCGGGTTAGTGTAGTTCATATAAGCATATTTATGCAATTTTAACGGCTAGACCCCATAGGATAACTTGTAGTCATACTCGAAATAATAGGGGTTGAAATTTTACCATACTACAAAAATTAAATTCCTTCTAGGGTCATAATTTAGTAGCATTTAAACTTACTACTCCTTGGGTTGACTACATCTAAAAAACAGCATGACCGTGGACAAATAACATAATCAATTGGCTTAATCCAGGAAACCGTTACGTATAAATTAAAGTTAAAAAATAACTTTTTGAGTTCTCCATCGCATTGTAATGGAAAGTGTACGGGGAGGAGAGAACATGATAGGAGGAGCGATGAGTACGAAACAACGCGCATATTGTTAGCGACAAACTACATTCGCTATTAATGGCAATTGCAGTCAATGAAAGGAGAAAGCCAAGCATACTGTAAGTATGTTCCATAATAAATAATTGTCTGGACTTGAAATAGATTATACATAGACAATTGTATTCAGGCGTAAGCTGGGGAGAATAAACAATACATTTCAGTCCCGCTTATATACTTCGAGAGGATATTCTGAAATTCCTTCCAAACTCATAAAATTGATTTTCTGAGATCTCCGTTTACGGTAAATGTTAATTCCTCTCTTTATCTAACAAACAATAAAATACAAAGTACCAATATTATAATCATTTTTAACAAAGAGGGTTAATTCCCCAATTGGTCGAGGGGATAACATCTGTAGAATTCAGGGTCAAATACAATCCTTTGTATTTTTGCATTGCCTAGCATATCTCTACACCACCCTACTTGAGATACGCCTCGACCCCATACAGTTTAGATTCTCCCTACAATATATTAATTATTACTTATAAAAGTTGTATTATTATGGGTTGAACTATATAAACCGGTTCATTAAAAGTAGCATTAATCGTCGTAATCATTACTCTGTATCATTGCAAATCATAAAAGGTATGATATTAAATTTCAAAAGATTTGATTCTAAAAGTTGTCATTATTGGTGGATAACAAATCTGATGAGAATCCTAAATTGAAAGTGTTTTGATTCTGGTCAAAATAATTGTTGTTCAAGTTCAACTCAAGATTACCTTCATCATTTAAAGGATTCAAGCTATTAACTCCTGAGTCATATAATAAGGTATTAAGCTCAGGCACATCATTTAGTACATCTTGTGCACCCTCAGGTTCCTTCATATATTGGTTAGCAGGCACTATTTCGTCAATAGTAGGGATATTATCGTTCAAAATAGGTGATTGTGATGATCTATTGGAGCTGTAACTCTCTTCTGGTGTTCTTTCATTCGATCTTAAATGACTGAACAATGTAGTTGGTCTTGGGTTATACTGGGATAAGTCTGGGGCTGAAAATGCCCTTGTTGTAGATGAAAAATCTTGGTTTAAATCTTGAGTGTTATTTAAATTTTCATTGAACATATTAAAATTATTGTCAGTTATAGGTTGGTTGACATTGATGTCAAATGTAGCTTGTTGAGGAACAGAATATTTCATCGGATTCATCTTATTGATATTAACATCTCCATCCATTGGTGAGGGTATCATGTTCATTGTAGACATTCTAGAGTTAGAGGTGTCCATCGGAACTTGGTTTGGTAACACTAATCTATCTTTGAATAAAGTCTCTTCGTTTTGTGGTGGAGATGATATTTCGAATTTAACTTCTTGGGCCGGTTCCAATTTAATCCTCTTATTGGATGGTAATTCGTTCGGAGATGCTGGTATAGATGATGCAGATTCGCTGGAATTAGGAATAGGAGTTTGATATCCATTCAACTGTGATTGTTGGGTTTCTGCCTGTTTATTAGAAGTATACTCGCTCGAGTTCAAGTAGTTTTTGATATACTCCCAACACTTATCTCCATATGTTTTAGGGGTCAAACCTGTAACTGATTTGAAGACCCTGTGAAAGTGCCAAGCTGAAAGTTTGGACTTTGCGGCTAACTCTTTGAACCCGAGTACACCACCTCTTCTTCTTCTTTTCTTGCTGTTCGAAGAACTAGATGGACTACTTTCAACCGATCTCGATCTTTTGGAGCCTTGTGGTTGAAAAATATTACTGGCAGCGGCCAATGCTAAATGTCTGCATGCCAAGTCCACCAATCTATAATGGTCAAAGTCGTTTTTCGATAAAGATGTGTTTTCGAAGTCCTTGGAGTACTTACCCTCAAAGTTAATCACTGGAACCGATGATCTTCTGCCTCCTATTGCCTGCATAATCTGCTCTTCATTAGTTTTTTTAGACTCTATAATATTCTCTTTAATTTTTTCATTATTTCTTTCCTCGTCCTCGTCCAATAAAGGGGGTAAGAACCCAATTTGCTTGTTGATTGATGCCACGCAGTCAACCAACAAGTCCACGTCGATCAGTGGGACCGATAACGGATCACAACTATCACACGCAATATACCCGTAATTAATAGCTTCTGACACCAGGTTCACAAACTTAATCTCCGACTTTAAGTTAGTGATAGGTCTCGCATCACAATCTGGTCGACAGAAGAACTTGTTAATCTTATTGCAAACGAAAAACGATTTTGCAGCAAATGGATCGCTGAATTGGTATGCTTTCCATTTGGTTCCTTCTGAAGAATATGGCATGTCCATACTTGTCATTATTCGTTATAGGGTTAAGTCTTTATTAATTGTAAATTAGTTATCCCTTAATGATTCTTTGTCAGCTATACACAATTGTTCACGTAAATATATACCAATTGTCTACTTTCTTAGAAGGATTATACTAACAGCTATCAAGACTAGTGAAGGTATGGCATTCAATTCTATTCTTAAAAGGGATTTCCCCGAACCTTTATAGTTCTAGGAAAATAATTTGAAATATCATGACGATTGTTACCCGACAACACACCACAAGATTTGGAAATGCATATGCACAAAGCCCCGACTGTAGCGGATAATAGCATCGGTATTCCGTGATATGTGGCGCACGGAAACTCGTACATAAAAAACGCATGCAACAATGTTCTTATACTATTGGTTTGCATGAATGTCATGTTTCCAGAATTAGCTAATAAATGTGTATCAGGGAATAATAACCGCATGGGCCCAATAGACCCACAAGGTGCTTTTTGCTTTACATAAGAATACATACTATTCAATCATATAGCTTTAGCGATACACTACTAGTCTTAGGGTGGCAGTTAATCTACTGATTTCCGTTATGGCTAGATTGGACTACATTGAACTTGATTAGGAGAACTTCGAGTGCAGTAAGGGGCGGATGTGACGGACCTTGGTGGAAATGGAGTAGTGAGTATTGAAATACGCTTCAGTAGGGAATATAATTGAGAGTGGAGAGTCCCAGATATAACTTAGATAGTAGGAATTAATAGGGGGTAATTGCAGAAGGTTACAGAAGATATTAGAATTTAGTAAGGAGATTTTGGATGGATGGAAGATGCTTAGGGTAGGACTAACTCGAATCAGACCAGAATGAAACATGCATTATACATGATTAAATATGGATAAGACATATCGGCACGTCTGAAATCTATGCTGGTCAGATACTTAGCAGATAAGGAGTGTATGCGACAAAGAAATGGAATTTCGATAGAATTCTATTATTGTGAAATTTTGCGTTAGATGCGGACAACCGTACGTTCTAGAAACCGGCAGTACAATACACCGTAGTCTTCGGATTTGGAGCACGCGCACGCCCATGCAAAGTCGATTTTATTGGGGAAGGGCTGGTACTCCAGAACGAAGTGGCTGGCATTAGATCATATTGCATAAAGCCGCTTTAAGGGTGTGGCGACGGCTTAACTGGATGCAGTATGTTCTGGTTCAGTATAAACCGGAACACCGATCGAATAGAGGTATTACAATTCCTCATTCGGCGTAAACTCGATATGATGTCCACCAAAGAGGACATCAAGGAATTGGTATATAGGGGAGTTGTTAAATGCAAAGAGCGTATATGTGTGCCGAGTCGATCATAGAGTAAACCAGATTTGAGACAAGAATTTTGTCTAAAAATAATTTGGTCTGTTTTAAATTGAATAAAAATATCTTGATTGCAGACGTATGTAGGATTTCATTTAGCTACGGTTGTTTACATTGTGAAATATTTCGCTGCGACGAAAAAGAACAAAAATATTTTTTCTAGCATATAAGCTGAGGGATTTTTAGTACAAGGAAGCTTTTTAATGCAGGATACTCTGGCACCCAATGATGCTGAATCTGTCCCCAGATGATGGTTCGTCGATCATAAGCATCCTGGCTCCAAAGCTACAGCCGGATGGTATTGGTTATAAACTCTTCACACTTATGTGGAAACAATAGGTGTATCGAAATTAGAACATGCATTTGTCTCGTATACCCAAAAAAGTTCAGAAGAGTATTTTTCATCTATTTGGGGCATTCCGATTTTTGAAGGCGTTATCTAATATTTTGAGAGAAACTTCCTCCACCCTGCGGCATTAAATGTTCATATTCAAATTTTGAAGGCCAAAATTTCCTTTTGTCAATAAAACTACCGCGCAGAATCATTCTTCTGCCAGATTCTCCGCGAAACAATCTTCAAACGAGCACTATGTTGTTTCATATTAAGTAAAACACAACATGTTCCATGGATTCAGGTTATTGCATCGAAGCGCGTGGTGTCGCCTTGTATGTATCCTCGGTCTATCTATACATGCTATATGAAGTAAAACGGCTTTTTTCTATGAGACTATGCGAATTTCAGTCATGTAAAGAACGCAATTTACGATCCTTTCTCTCGGATTTATGAACATCGCATGAAGAGTGCAGAACATTTTTATGCGTACTGAATAAAAAACTACATATCATATGCTTCGCCGTCCATCCAAATTGTTCTAAAGCTACAATTACATCTACATCGTAGCCACTATTTTAAAGGATTAAGGTACCAAATTAGTCAATAGTTCGTATCTTGAAAGAAAGACCCACAAAAGAAAGAATGATTAGCCTCCCATCTTCAATCTTGGGTGAAAAAGTATACTCGAATTATGTGTTCCATTACATACATAACTCAGATAACCTCACATATCCGTTTTCGAAATGTAAACGTGGTGTCAAGTAAAAAAAGCACATGCCATAAGCGATCAAAGACAAAAAAAAACGAATTTCCATCGTGACGTAATGTGTTTTCTAGAAGGCTGTAGAGAATAAACAACTGACCGAAGCATTAGATCTGATTGTATGAAAGATGCCTAGATGTTAGGAGCATGGAACGAAGACATTTGTGGCTCTTGATCAAACCTCTATGTGCTCGTTTTGTGTAATATATTATTTAGATGAGAGTTTTGGTTTTGATAGACTCTTAGAGGGTGGATTGAAGGTTTGTATGAGAGAGAAAAAATGAATGAATTTGACTCGATATCATCACGGCATGAAGGGCATCACCATACAGCTAATGTCAAATATGGATATATAGTCTTGGGGCTTTCGTTGCTCCATGCAATTGGTATTTTCATATGTAAGAGCATTTTCCAACTCCGATGGACTACTCCATCGAAAGGTATGGGGTTGATTAAATCGCCACTTTTTATTACCATCGTTGCATGGACTTTGATTTTGATAGGCCTTGGGCTTTTTCATATACAATTGCCAGATAATTATTCTACTTCTATTAAGCGATTTGGTAGAATGTCCTACGCACTTTTGCCATTTGATATATTCCTTGTATTAAGACCTAACACTATTGGTCTCCGATATTTGGAATTGATTGATTTGCATAAGTGGATGTCTCGGTTGATAATAGGGTGCGCCATTATCCATGGAATGGGCTATTTTGTAAAATGGATATTAGAAGGAGCCTTTTTAACAAAGCTGTTTAGATTGTGGAATTTTTTGGGGATAATGGTATTCACTTTAAATTTGATTTTGATTATTATTTCGCTAAGGTATTTCCGAAGAAGGATATACCAGTATTTCTATGTGGTTCACAATATCACGGTCTGGCTATTTGTGGGGTTGATCATCTTACATGCCAGACCCGGTGTTGGAAATTATGCCATCATATGTGCTGGCTTATTGGGTCTCCAATTATTTGAAAGATACTCAAAATCACATTCAATAACAAATTTAAAAGTCATTTCAAAAGAAGGCTCTAACTTAGTAGTAGTAAGGATACAACGGGATCTGAATCTCCCTGATTGGTCTAGTGGATCGCATATCCGTTTAACTTATCCTTTAACTAATTATAAAGCATGGATTTTTCCTACACATCCTTATACAATTGCATCATTAGAATCGGAATCTACATTGGATCTAATCATTAACAAATCAAATCGCTTTATATTGGAACCTCAAACATCCTATTCGTGGTCAGGCCCCTTCACCTCCTTTTCGAAAGAGCTCTTAACAACTATTGATAACGTCCATATTATTTGTGGAGGCTCGGGTATCTCATTTGCCGTGCCAGTATTCAAGAACCTAAAACTTAAGGCATCTCATGCTAAATTAATTTGGTGCGTTAAAAGTAAAAATGATATACATGTTTTACAAACTTTGAATTTTAAGGAAGAGATTACCATCCATATAACAGGTAATCTTCAAGACTCAACTTCTCTGAATACAGTTTTTGATGAAGAAGATTATGGGCTATTAGATTATGATAATAATGAAAATTTTGAGCTTGAATCCTTACCATCTGCTGAGACTCCATCTGATGATCCATCTTCGCTGGCATCAATACCCCATAAAGATTCGAAATATATCTTAAATCAAGGTAGACCAAATTTCGGAACCTCTTTTGAATCTTTAGTCCTGATAAACAATTCTAACAAATGGATAATTGCTTGTGGTCCGAAAGGTCTTGTAAATAGTGTCCAGGAATGGGCGAATGATAATAAGATTAATTTTGTTTCTGAGATATATGAAATGTGATTATAAATAATACATAATTGATAAAAATTATATTTCTTTAGATTATCGATGATAATAAATAGTATAAAAAACTAATTAACATAGATTATATTTCTTAATTTTATCAATAATATAAAAATATTAAATTTATCAAAAAAAACAAGCTTGCACTCAGGATCGAACTAAGGACCAACAGATTTGCAATCTGCTGCGCTACCACTGCGCCATACAAGCATGTTCTTAAGATTTACAATATTTGCTGTATTTATATCCTTATAGTCTCCCAAATAATTTAGATTGTAGTTTCTAATGTTAGAAATAGACGCAATGTATTTTCAAAATCCTATAATCTGTATTATTAAAATGAAATGTTATGTCTGTTAAAAGAAATGAATTTGAGAACAAACCATTGAAAACTTTTCCAAATGATGTCTCCAATTTTACTTATAAAGACTTAAGGCTTTTAGAGAACCCAATTCTAGCATATCAGCTGCCTTTAGCGGTTGTAGCTCATGTTGATTTGAATGCGTTCTTTGCTCAGGTAGAACAGATAAGATTAAATCTAACTTCAGACGACCCTATTGTCTGTGCTCAATGGCAGTCTTTGATTGCAGTTTCGTATGCTGCTAGAAAATTTGGAATTGGAAGAATGGATACAATTCAATCAGCAAGAGAAAAATGCCCAAACATCATAATCGCACATGCAGCAGTCTTTAGAAAGGGTGATTCTTATTGGTCATATGTTAGAGGTTTGCCTGATCAATCTATTCATAAAGTTCTGTTGGATCCATATCGGAGAGAAAGTAGAAAAATTATGAAAATTTTCAGAGAATACTGTGATGTAGTTGAAAAGGCGAGTGTCGATGAATGCTTTTTAGATTTTGGAAGAATGGTGTACTATACGTTAATCCAGTTGTTTCCTGAACTAGGTCGCGAAGTAGATAATATTAACAATATCCTACCGAGTATTCCTTCTTCCTTGCCTGATTCTTTATATTGGGTAGGGGAAATCATCAAGTCAGAAAATGAGATATCGAGTTTAAATAACGACAATTATCAACAATCTCCTGTTCATTATCCTGAAATTAAAGACTGGGATGATGTATGTATTTTGATTGGATCACAATTACTTTATGAAGTTCGTCTACAAATCTACAAGGAATTGGGTTATACCACGTCAGGTGGTCTAGGTAGAAATAAGATTATTGCTAAAATAGCAGGTGGTTTTTTAAAACCAGATAATCAAACAATAATTAGAACCTGTCTGGTGAACAATTTTTTAAAGAACTTCCACTTAATTGATTTTAACGGCATGGGCGGTAAGACTGGAGATGTGATCATGCAACGCCTTGAAATACCTCCTGACGTCAACTCAATCTCATTTATCCGCAATAATTTTTCTTTGGAGGATATGCAGAAAGAGTTTACAAATGACTTACCCTTAGCTCAAAAAATATACGAAATGGTCAGAGGCAATCACCAGCAAGAATTATCTTTGAGAACTGATATTAAATCGATGATGTCCAGGAAAAACTTCTTATCTAAAAAGCCGGTTAATAATTTGCTTGATGCTTATGACTGGATCAAAGTATTTGCAGGTGATTTATATAACCGATTGATTGAGTTGGACGATGAAAGTTTAAACTTACTGATGCTGCAACAATCCCATCGAGGTAAGGGCTATATAAGAAGGCCGAAAACCTTAAGTATTCAAATTACCTCAACTTCGTATGTGAAGCATTCCAAACAAACCCAATTACCAGTAGTACGATCTTTGGACAAATTGAAAGAAAATTTGGAAGCTACAGGACTCAAATTGCTCATGGATATACTCGATAATTCCACGAATGTTCATAAACTAAACAACGGCATAAATTTAAGAGAATTAGATAAGAAGATAGATAAAGATTACTCCAAGATTAAAATAATACCACTTGCCAATATGTCATTAGTCATCTCAAATTTTGTAAAAAATACAGATTCAAGCCTAATCGATTCTTACACGGATAACAAATCAGACATTTCGACTCAAGAAAATATAAGAAAGATGTTTGACGAAGTAAATGAGGAAGCTAAAATCAAAAGGTTAAAACTAGAAGATTTAAATCCCAAAGCCGAATTTCATAAAAACAAATCTAGAGTGATTTCCAAAGAAGAAGGGGAATATGTTAATAAATTATTTGCAGACTTCAATTCGGAACGATCATCAATATCAAATATGCAAATACCATCAAGAATTACACCAGAGCCAATAGATTTAAAGACTAAAAATAGTCAAGAAGACAAGGAGTATATTAAGTCGCTATTTGATAAGTTTGAGAACGACAAAAATGCTATGAACGAAACACTGAAACCACAATCGAAATTACAACCAAAACAGAAAGAAGAAAGAAAGTATAATATACTCCAAGACTTGAAAGCAAAATCATCTAGTCGCTCGGTTAAATCAAACCTTTCAATGACCAATGATCAAAAATTCTTTGATGACTTAGTTAGTAATAATTACTGTTCTCAATGCAATCTAGAAGTCGAAGATGTTTTTGAACATCGGGATTTTCATATTGCACTTGAACTCTCGCTGATGATCAACGGTCGTGAGATCACTCCCGAAACTACAAATAAGTCATCAAATTCACCTAATCCTTCAGAAAGAAAATCAAGTAATTGCAATGTGGGTAAAGGTCAGTCTAAATTACCTTTTTAATTTTATATTTAATAAATAAATTTCAATACTCTTTTTTCTTTGTGTAGCTCGACCGAGGAACATCAATAAATTAGAACCTCTCGTTTTCACCTTATCAACAAAAAATATTAAAAATTAATTAAAAGCTATAAGTTACCTACGATGTCTAAGGTAAATCACAATGCATTGCCGTTTGCTGATGCTTCAACTATAGGTATGTTCTAATCTGTGGCATGAATTATGCTCCGGAATTTTTATAGTATATAGTTGTGGGGTATATTGAATTCGATTACTAACTATAGAACAGTACGGGCACATCAGAAAGATACATATTTTGAATCATCCTATCGTTCGCAAGTACAAGATGTTCTTCATATATTTAAGGGACAACGGTTTATCAATACTCATCCTGAGGAAATTACAGTAGCAGCTAAGTCTTTATACCTCATACTCACGACATTGATTGGAGCAAGAACTTTAGGGGAAGAGTATGTTGATCTTATCTACGTGAATAGGACGGGGAAAAGATTCCCTCAATTACTCCCCAAACTAGGGTTTATCTTGTCATATGCATTATTACCATATTTATTCACCAGACTAGTAAGAAAGTACAAGCCAAAAGATGGCGATGAATCTACCAAACCAAAAGAAGGAGTGAGGTTCTGGCTAACTCAATTCTTTTCATCATATCCTAAGGTATTAGACACGCTTATGAATTTGCACATCGCTATATTTTATTTCAAGGGAGAATTCTATTCAATATCGAAGCGTATTTTCGGTTTACGCTATGCATTTGGGCATAATAAAGATCCTAAGAAATTGAAACTCGCCAGAGGTGATTACTCTTTATTGGGTGGTATTATTTTGTTGCAATTTGTAGTGAAATCATTGATTAAATTTAAAAGCTACATTGATGACAAAAATAAAATAGATAAATCTGAAAACGAAGAGAATGAAAGGAATATGAACGCAATTTTTAAAATATCCCAGCTAGAAAAATTCCGAGACAATGTGACTACTAACGATAAACTCTACAGGCAAATCAATGTGGATTTATCGAATCCTGATCATTTGCCATATTTGCCTGAAAATTCAAGATCATGCATGTTATGTTTATCACCAATGACAAATCCATCAGCAGCTTCATGTGGGCATTTATTCTGCTGGGAATGTATAGTTGATTGGGTAAGAGAACACCCTGAATGTCCCTTATGTAGGCAACAATGTCTTGAACAAAATTTGCTTCCCTTGAAATGATAAGTTCAATGCAGAAGTGATTATACTCGTTATCACGTAAAGAAAATGTTGATGATATGATTATTTAAGGCTATATATACATCAAATCTCTCTATATAATGGTACATCTCCTAAGTATATCTGGTTAAAATTGTATCTACTGGTGATGCACGTGCAGTAAGCGCTGTTTTTATTTTAAGTCGTCTCAAGTTGATATTTTTGGCGATAAAGTTAGGGTTGATCTATACTTCAACAATGAGTTCAAATCAAAGGCATAATATGCCTAAAGGTATTGCTGACGAGGAATACCTAGAAAAGTTGGAAAGTAATATTCACGATAATAATCATGATAATTATCATAAGTCATTTAAACCTAATAAACACAAATCATTGTACTCGAGGATTGAATCACAATTTAGAAACGCATTGAAAGTGACACAAGAAATTTGTGCCAGGCATAAAAAGCTTGTAATCGTATTGATTACTTTGGCTTGTTTATCTCTTTTTACATCAACTCCATTTATTCCTCATTTGAGGTCAAAAGACCCAAAAGTAGTGATAATATTAGCAGCGAACGAAGGCGGAGGTGTTTTGAAATGGAAAGGGCCTCAAGAGTGGTCGGTGGAAAGATCTTCTATTGCAAATAAAAAGCATTACGCTAAAGTTCATGGTTATGGTTTAACCATCAAAGATATGACACTTAAAAAAAGGTATTCTCATGAGTGGAGAGAGTCGTGGGAGAAGGTGGACATAATGAAGCAAGTGATGAGACAATTTCCCGGTACCGAGTGGTTTTGGTGGTTAGATTTACATACATATATTATGGAACCACAAATATCATTAGAGAAGCATTTCTTGGATAACTTAGAAAATGCAACTTACAGGTCGTTAGAAACGTTTAACCCTCTCAACCTCCCAGTTGATTTACCCTATGTCGATTATAATAGCCCTATTGACATGATTATTACGCAAGATTGTGGTGGATTTAATTTAGGCTCATTTATGTTAAGAAGATCTGCGTGGTCTGAAATGCTATTAGACTTTTGGTGGGACCCTGCTATGTATGAGCAAATGCACATGGCTTGGGAGCACAATGAGCAAGATGCCTTGGAAACGTTATATACAACCCAATCCTGGATAAGAGAAAGAATCGGGTTCCTTCCTTTAAGAAAAATTAACGCCTTCCCACCGGGAGCATGTTCTGAATTCTCAAATGACCCTAGATATTTCTACAAGGAGCGTGATTTTGTTATTAATATGGCTGGTTGTGAATGGGGAAGAGACTGTTGGAGTGAAATGGAACATTTTAAGGCGTTATCCAAGAGACTCCATAAAAGATGGTGGAAATTTTGGTAAATGTGAGCCATAAGTATCTTTTTTAGTAACTTTATAGATTCGAATGTAACCAATAATTCAACAGTATATATTTATATAAATATCGATAGAAACTTTAATAGACTACTAGTGTTTTTGTAGTGTGGTAGTGTGATGTTCAATTTTGACGAAGCTAAATTTATTTTTGTTCTTAGATAAACACGCTAAATAACTATAATCGATAATCATTGCAATATTGACATGTCAGACAATTTTTGGTTCAATGATGATGCCTTCCTGGGTAGTAATCAAGATGATAATAACAATGCATCGAATAATGATGACTTTTTGAATAATATTTTTGATCAAAATGCAGAACAGCAGCAAGCACGAGAGAACTTACGACCAGCGGCTAATCAGTTGCCATCTAATAACACACCATCCGCTCCACAAGATATAATCCCAGCGGCTATATTAGGGCAGAATCAGAGTATTAATCCACAAATGTTCATGAGACAGCAGCAGCAGCAACAACTACAAGATCCACAACGTTCTCAACAACCTCAACAACCTCAACAACCTCAACAACCTCAACAACCACAACAACTTCAACAACCTCAGCAAAATCGACAATCCCAGCAGCCTCAGCAATTCGAGCAATCACCACAATTGCAACAACCTCAGCTGCAACAACTTCCAGGCCAAAATAATCAACAGGCTTTAAATCAGGGGAGAAAAGAACAATTATTGCGGATGAGACAACAAATTATGCAACAACAAATGCTTCATGCCCAGCAAAAACAGCAACAATTTCAACAGCCTCAACTGTTAGCTGCATCTGCAAATAATAATAATAATATGACTCCACAAGCTCAAGCTCAAGGTGCTATGCGCCTTAAAAATATGGAACTACAGGAATCTTCTTCACCAAACACTTTTTCAAGATCACAAGTCCCCAATGCCTCCCAACCCGCACATTCTATGGGCAATATAGGACAATCTCAGAGTCACCCTCAATCACAAATGGCACAACCACAAAGCGCATCAAATTCCTACGCCAATAGTCCTGTAAACAATATGATCTCGCCGCAGGTTCAAAGCAACTTGTCCCAAAGCCAACAGACACCTCGTTTTTCAAATCCACAAATTTCTCAACCTACAATGCCGCCCCAGGGTCAACAGGGTAGTAAGCCTCCTCCTCCTGCGCAAATTGCCCAATTACAGATTGAATTGTTTTTAACTACATTAAATGATTTTATGAACCGTCGTGGTTCACCCATATCACAACCACCTGTTGTCAATAATAGAAGAGTTAATTTGTTTTTCTTGTACATTTTATCACATAAGCTCGGCGGACCTCAAGCGTTGATAAAAGCATTACAACAACCTTCTCAACAGCAACCATCGCCATGGTCTACTATTTGTCAGAAATTAGGTCTTTATGATGGAGTTAATATTCAACAGGATTTGGCACTGAAGGCTCGGATTGAGAAAGAAGTTGGAAATTGCTATGTTCAGTATTTATTACCATATGAGCAATATAACAGCACGCCTGATGGACAGAAGGATATTCAACAGAAGAGGCTCCATTTTCAAAAGCAACTTCTCATGAGATTCCAACAACAACAACAACAACAAAAGCTGGAACCTCTGTATCCACTGCATCCACTGCATCATGGATCGCCCGCACCAAATATCCCTCAAGTTTCCCAGCCACAACCAAATCATACCTCACCACCTCAAACAAGTAGTATTGCATCTCCCGTTATCAACATGCAACTGAATATGATGCAAACTAGCCAAAGTCCTGTAATAAGCCAAGCTCCTACGCCACAACAACAGCGAAAGCTTTCTCGTGTGAGTAGTAATCAAAATTCTCCAAACGTACAATCTCCTTATATGCAACAACTGATCTCGCGTTCGGGTAGTATAGTACAGCAGGCTCAGATGAATTCGCAACAGCAAGTTCAAATGCAGCAGCAACAACAGCAGCAACAACAGCAACAACAGCAACAACAGCAACAACAGCAACAACAGCAACAACAGCAACAACAACAGCAACAACAACAGCAACAACAACAACAGCAGCAACAACAGCAACAACAGCAACAACAGCAACAGCTAAATCAATTTCAGAGGAAGCAGCAAGTTCCATCTGCCAAAACGTCGGCGCTTGAGTCTCCAAAAATTCCAGATCAAAAGAACCTACAATCCGATGCTCTACCAACATCAACTAATTCTGAACAAGATACCAAAATCAAACCCCAAGAACCTAACATTGTAAAGAATTACGTTCCAATTCGTAAGGTGATTGAATCTCATGCAGGATATGATATTAAGTCATTATCAACTGTTGCAGGTGAAATCGAAATAACCAAACCAGTCTATTTGTTTGCTCCTGAATTAGGTACAATAAACATACATGCACTTATAATGGCTTTGAAGAATTATAGCTATGCCAATAGAGGGGAAGTATTTAGCGCTTTGAACACTTTACTTGTTACAACTTCAGATTCCAATTATGCATTTAAAATATCTGATTGCCCTGAGTTATTGGATTCATTGGCGACCTTAGGCTTAACGGTGTTAGACCAACTTATAGGGGATAAGCACAATAAAATAAAGGAAGGTGAATATACTGAAACATTTTCATCAAATAATAATATTGAAGATGTCTTTAACAAGTACGTAAATAATAAGAACGCCAGTGAAATGATTGAAGAAGATATTACGTATGTAGTTGATTCTTTGACAGGGCAACTTATTGATGATGAGGGTTCCGATATGGAAATAGATGAAGTTTTTTCACCAAGTGAATGGAACTCTACATCTTGTACTTCGGAAACAAATAGTCCTATTGCTAGCGATGATGATGAAAGTGAATTCTTTATTCCTGATTATATGTCTACTTTGCTCAACTTCAGAAAGGAAAATAAATATCATTTCAGCAAAATACAAACAAAGAATGCTATGGATGACCAGATCATGCTAGTAGATCAATTAATTACCATTACTATGGTTTTGCGAAATATTTCGTTTTCTGAAGCAAATAGAACTAAGATGTCTAAAAATAAAATATTTAAGAATCTAATCTTTAAGACTGTTAAGGCTATTGCAACTTCGTCAAAGAGCTTTGTTTTTTATAGAAAGAGGCTATGTTTGTTAAAGGATTGTCTTCTCATGTTAGACAACATTGCTTTCACTATGGAGCTTTCTTCCTTAGAAGAAGCTTTCTTAGCTTTTGTATTGGTTAGCTCTTTTGGACCAAAATTGGAGGATAATTTTGGTATTCCTAAAGTGAGTTTGGATGTTTATTCATACTTACCATTTGGAATCGATGCATTGACAAAATTGTTGGTAAGAGAGCCTCATAACAGGTCATTGATGCAAGCTGTGTTAACTGGCAGTTTGAATGTTTCCCCCTCAACTTATTCAGGTGCCAGTTCTCTTAATATCACGCCTGAAGATCAGATAGAAACGAAAAGATTGATGTTAGCATATTTGAATGGTGACGAAGAAAGCCTCAAATCAGGAAGATTATTGACCAAGTCATTCCAACTATTTTTATGTTTAATTCCCTATGAATCAAGTACTTATGAGTTCTCGAAGTTCGTCTTCACGCGATCTTCCACCGTATCCCAAGCTCTATTTGGAGCCAAACTCATTATTGATATGGTCCCCGTCGAAGATAGCGTATCTCCTTTATGTAACTTATCGGTATTGTGGATCCTTCATAACAAAGAACTCATTCTCTCCAATTTATCCAGGATGTCGATGTCTTTAATAATGGAAGCTTCTAAATTACATCCTACTAGTAATGAATACAAAATACTATCATTAGTATTGGTGAGGTCTTTCATAATGGTCAATTCATTAGTAAATGATGCTATCAATATATATGACTCCTCAAACGATGATAATAAATTAAAGGGAGAGATAAAGGATCTTTCAAAACTCTCTAGGGTTATTCCAGATCCAAACTCAGCTTTAGATTGTTTATTGTCTCCTGCTGTTGATGCTGGTTTGAGTAAGGAAGTTATCCGTCTTCTTGCTTTGTTAAGAAGACTATCGAAGGATTGATGTATATTACCTTTATAGACGATTCCTTAATACAAAATTAATAATTAATATTCGAAAAATTCAGAAAATTCGTAATTAAATATTTTAATAATTTTGATATTAGTTGCAAATAATTTCAATCATTGCATTTTTCTTCAAAAAAGGTAACTAAATTACCAATATACTACAATTTTGCTTGAAAAAATCAATTAAAAAAAAAGTGAACATATAACTTATAGAAAAATACTTTAGAAACAAGTCACCATTAGAAGTTGGCATTACAAGTAGTTATGGCCTTGATTTTACATTTTTTGCACCCTATTGTGTGAGCGATCTATATGTGAAACGCATATAGTGAAAACTCGTACACTAAATCTAATTGATTTTAAGTCTACAATTTACGAGAGATCAAATAATACGAACGCATATATCAAGGATCTGGGGCCTTTAACATATACGTAACCAAAATTTGCTTATACAAGTTGTAGAGGAGTGATGACAAAATATCTTCATAGGATAGATAATGATTACATAATACGAACAACCTCGGCATTCACTCGACTTCATTTCTATGGTGGGGTATTCATTTGTAATGAATCAAGACATTAATATATATATATACTTTTCTTGTATTCTAACAGTATTATTATATTCATATCATTGTAAATACTTATAAAAATGTCATTTGTCGGTGGAGGAGCTGACTGTTCAGCAAATAGTAATGCTATTGCTCAATTTAATAAACATACCCAGCAAGATAGATCTTTGCAGAGACAAGCGGCAAATCAGCAAGGCATAATCCAAAATGGTCAAGGTTTTAAGAAAGATAATATGATGAATGAAAGGGAAAGACAAAATTTGGAACAGTTTATGAACAATGGTCCTTCTCAATCAAACTTCCAGTTTCAACCAATGAGACATGAATTAAATATGATCCAACAAAACCACAAGCAGCCTAATCTTCAGAACAATTGGACCAATGAGTTTCAAACGAACTCCCCATCTCCGATACAGAGAAACACACCATTAGCTAAAGCTGGAAGCCCCGTGAACTCCCAATGGGCCACAGAATTTCAACAGCCAATGGATCAAAGTTTCAATCAACCAAACCAGCAACAGTTTAACAATATGCCTAATATGAGAATGGGGGGATATCGCCCTATGATGGGTATGTCTATGATGGGAGGAGGCATGCAACAGCAGCAGAACCAAGTACAACATCAGGAACAAAACCAAGAGCATCAAGTTGATTGGGATAACCAGTTTAAAGAGATAGAACAATTGACAAACGACAATAAGGAGGCTGAAGCTGAACAAATTAAAGATGAAGAGCAACCAGAAATCGTTATTGATGATAAATATCAAGCAACTTTCCAAGAGGTTTGGGATAGTTTAAACTCGGAAGAAGTGGAGAACGATTTTATAAGCCAACAATACGAGGAATTCAAGAATACTCAGCGCGATTCAATGCCTGCGGATATGGCTCAGTGGGAGAAGGATTTCGCTAAATATGCATCCACTAGAGCTCACTTCGGAGATTATCAATTCGAAGATACGCAGCATAACCAATTTTTGGATTTACCAAAAGAGCTGGATCCATATGAAATTGGATTACAGTTAATGGAAAATGGTGCCAAGTTATCAGAAGCGGCTCTAGCATTTGAAGCTGCTATTCAAAGAAATGAAGGTCATATTGATGCCTGGTTGAAGTTGGGTGAAGTTCAAACACAGAATGAAAAAGAAATTGCTGGTATTTCAGCATTAGAAAAATGTTTGGAATTGCATCCTGAAAATTCAGAAGCTTTAATGACTTTGGCAATTTCATACATCAACGAAGGGTATGATAATGCTGCATTCGCCACATTGGAAAGATGGATATCTACAAAATACCCCCAGGTTGCAGATAAAGCTCGTCAACAAAATCCTGCGATCGATGATGAGGATAGATTTTCATTAAACAAAAGAGTCACAGAATTGTTTTTAAAGGCTGCACAATTATCTCCAAACCTGGCCAATATGGATCCCGATGTTCAAATGGGTTTGGGTGTCTTGTTTTATGCCAATGAAGACTTTGATAAGACTATTGATTGCTTCAAAGCTGCCTTAACTATTAAGCCAGATGATGCGGTATTGTGGAATAGACTAGGCGCATCTTTGGCCAATTCCAACCGTTCTGAAGAAGCTGTTGATGCATACTTCAAGGCCTTAGAATTGAAACCAACTTTTGTAAGAGCAAGATACAATTTGGGTGTTTCATGCATAAACATCGGCTGTTACAAAGAAGCTGCAGAACATTTACTTAGTGGCTTATCAATGCACCAAGTTGAAGGTGTCGATACTGATGCCTCAAGTACCTTAAACCATAATCAATCAACTTCCTTGACAGAAACATTAAAGAGAGCTTTTATTGCAATGGATCGCAGAGATTTATTAGAAAAAGTCAAGCCTGACATGAATATAAATCAATTCAGAGGTGAATTTAACTTTTAATAGGTTGCAGATTGTTCTTAGTATATAGTAATAACATAAAAATGGTCAGGTGATCATAATGACTCAGTCTAAAATTTTCTCAAAAGATACTGGAGTATAGATAAAAGATAATAAGTTAGCGGTTATTAGTAGTACAACTTTCTGATAAATATAAGAGATAATTTCTGTATAATTACAATATGACATTTCCTATATTACCTATAATCTCGTCTCCTTCGAACAGAGAGGCTATAGCAGAATTTTCCGTAGTAGGGCAAATTTTGCTTCCTTTCGAATCAGTTTCTATTTCCAAACATTTCCTCCACCAATTCCCAAATCACGTTGAGGTTAACGTTGACACCACATCAGCAAAAGTTGAGGTTGATCAAATTGTTGAATTATTAAATGGCGGTATTAAGCAGGTGTTTATTAAGGAATCTCAAGTTGATGAATTCATTTTGTCGGGTGGATTACCTAGTTCCAGATTCGCTGTGAAATTTGACTCTTCAGAAGTTTCCGATAAGGTATTAGAAACAGACAGTGCCTTTGTATTCAATTGTGAGCTTACAAAGGATGAAATCAAAAAGTATGGCCAGAATGGTAATAGAGGACTCTACTATGAAAACACTTCTATCGCTCAGGAATTGGCGAATAAGTTGGCTTCAGAAGATATTTATCCTATAATTTCGAGTGAATCTTTAACTAGTGCATCTTCAGAGTGTGGGAAGATTTCAATTTCTTCATTGTTTACTGCTGGCTTAACCACAGATCGCCCTGATGGTCTTTTCACTACTTTGATCACTACTCCTGCACCATCCTACACTGCGTTGGGTGTTGTCTATTCGTCAGTTGAATCTATTCATGCCTCAATTGCTGAAAAGCAAGGTGTTTATCAATCCAGAAAACGTCGTGACGAATTATGGTATAAAGGCAAGACTAGTGGTGCAACTCAAAAGTTAGTCAAATTGGAAAAGGATTGTGACTCAGATGTTGTCAAATTTATTGTTGAGCCAAGGGAGGGTTATGGATTCTGCCACTTAGATAAGAATTTTACATGTTTCCATGATGGGGAATTAACACAAAAGGGTGAAAGCTTTGGTAAGGGATTAGCAAAATTGGATAGTACATTACAAGATAGATTTCAGTCTGCACCTGAAGGTTCTTACACCAAAAGATTATTTAATGATGAGCCATTATTAATCGCCAAGTTAAAAGAAGAGTTGGATGAGCTAATAGAAGCTGGACAAAGTTCACCAAAGGATTCTAATGAAGTTGCATGGGAGTGCGCCGATTTATTTTATTTCGCAATGGTTTGGTGTATTAAAAATGGTGTTAGATTGGCGGATGTGGAAAGAAATCTTGATATAAAAAGCAGTAAAGTTACCAGACGTAAGGGTGATGCTAAGCCAGCATACCTAAAGAATGATAACGAGAAGACTGAACAAAAGAAGGAAGAATATAAGATGGAAACCATATATGTAAATGATAAATCGACTGATCCTAAAGACATTTCTAAGGCTTTAAATAGACCTGTTCAAAAGACTGCAGATATTATGAAGTTAGTCTTGCCAATAATTGAGAAAGTTAAAAAGGAGGGTGACAAAGCATTATTAGAACTTACATCTAAGTTCGATGGTGTTAAATTGGAAACACCAATTCTTCGTGCACCTTTCCCAGCTGAATTAATGAATATTTCTGAAGACATGAAAGAAGCCATAGATTTGTCAATGTCAAATATTGAAAAATTCCATGCTGCACAATTACCAAAAGAAAAAATCATGACGGTGGAAACAGCTCCTGGGGTTTACTGCTCACGTTTTGCCAAGGCAATTGAAAATGTTGGATTATATGTACCAGGTGGTACTGCTGTTTTACCTTCTACTGCTATGATGTTAGGTGTACCAGCAAAGGTTGCAGGCTGCTCGAACATTATTCTCGCTTCTCCACCATCCCGTTCTACCGGCAAATTAACACCTGAAGTTGTATATGTTGCGCATAAGTTAGGTGCTAAGTGTATTGTTATGGCAGGTGGTGCTCAAGCTGTAACTGCAATGGCTTACGGTACTGAAAGCGTGCTTAAGTGTGATAAGATTTTGGGTCCAGGTAATCAATTCGTGACTGCTGCAAAAATGTATGTCCAAAACGATACACAAGCATTGTGTTCGATTGATATGCCTGCTGGACCATCTGAGGTTCTAGTTATTGCTGATGGTAAAGCAGATGCTGATTTCGTTGCAAGTGACTTATTATCGCAAGCAGAGCATGGTGTTGACTCTCAAGTTATTTTAATCGGTGTTGACTTAACTAAGGAAAAGTTGAGCGAATTTGAATCTGCCGTAAAGAAACAAGCTGAGGTTTTACCAAGAAAAGATATTGTTGCCAAATGCTTATCACACTCATACACCTTATTAGTGGATACTTATGATGAAGCATTTAAGTTATCGAATAAATATGCCCCTGAGCACTTAATTTTGCAAGTGGAAAATGCTAGATCATTCGTTCCTGATTATATTGAAAACGCTGGGTCAGTATTTGTTGGTGGTTTATCTCCAGAATCTTGTGGTGATTATTCTAGTGGTACTAATCACACATTACCTACATATGGTTATGCAAGGCAATATTCTGGGGTAAATACTGCAACCTTCCAAAAGTTCATTACCTCCCAAGATGTTACTGAAGAAGGGTTAAAGAGTATCGGTAAAGCTGTCATGACTTTAGCCGAAGTTGAAGGTTTAGAAGCCCATAGAAATGCTGTTCATGTGAGAATGGAAAAATTAGGTTTATTATAACGTAAATAAGTGCCAAGTTTAGAATAATCTTTTATAGAAAAAATATTTAACTACTGAAAATCCAAATGTAATTATTGAATCTTTATATGGCTAGATAAAAAGAAAATTAGCAGCTGATTCCATTAGAAAATGTCAAATAACAATACTGTACAGTTCTATAATCTAGATTTGGATGTTTCCTCCTTAGAATTGTTCAATGCTTCATACACATTATATTCCATTCTCATGAATCCGGTAATAGATGTCATATTCATTACAGGTAGTATCTGACATGCCCAGAAGCCCGCAACTTTATTTTCAAAATCTATCCAGAAATAAAGGTTAGCTAGGCCAAACCAATAAATTGCACCCTTAGGTCTTCCAGTAGGTAGATTGTTCATAGAGTACGCACAACCAGTTAAAGTAAAACCATCAGGTTCATACTGCAGTGGAATCTTTACCCCAAATTGATCTTCTAAATCTACGACGACTCCAGGGGGTAAATGATTCTTCCTCGCATAGTTAACAGTTTCAGGTTTCAACACTTGCTTATTTGTATCGACACACATACCTTCATTCAACCAAACTCTAATAAACTTTAAATAATCGCCAACAGTACCGAAGCACCCTTGTCCACCCATATCAATTTCCGGATCGACATTAAGTGGTCTCTTCTTCATCACCTTTAGGTTTTTATATCTATCAGGTATATGTGTGTCAGCCAAACGTTCAGTATTCTTGACATGAAAGGTACATGAATTCATTCCAATTGGATCAAATATAGCATCTTTTAAATACACTCCTAGTTTCTTTCCTGTGACATTTTCAATCACCTTGCCTACCCAGTCTGTGCTATGGCCATATGTCCATTTCTTTCCAGGTTCATGCAATAATGGCATCTTATCATTAGTAAACAATGCATCACTTGGAGTTATTGCATTTATATGGGGATCTCTTTTCGTACTCAATGCAACATATTGCAGGTCTAAGAACCCGTATGAAAAGCCAGCAGTATTATTTAGTAAATGTCTTAACGTAACATCTTCTAATGGTTTCCTAGGCGGCTTGATAAACTTACCACTTACAAGATCAACCAGATTTGCATCAATTACACCGATATTACTTATTTGTGGTACGTACTTCTTCACAGGAGCTTCAAGATCAACCTTACCTTCCTCGTACAATTTCAATAATCCCATACATGTAATCGACTTCGTACAAGAGAAAAATGACACCACACTGTCCACAGTCATGTTTTCACCAGTTTCAACATTACTAACCCCCTTAGCATTCAAATAAACTGTCTCCTTATCATTGGTAACCCCTGCAATTACACCATTAATTTTGGCCGTTCGCTGATTTACTTCAGGTGTGGTCAATTCACTTATTATATCATTAAGTTCCGTTGTAAGTTCTTTCTTTTGATGTTGACTAAAACTCATATTCAACCCCCAGTTCAATTCATTCAATAGCGGCAATCGATAATATTTAAGTTTGGTTTTAAGAGGACATATATATATATATATATATATATGTATATAATAATTCCTCCATATGCAATACACAGAATTTCCCCATATTAGAATTGGGCATGCTCTATAAAAGAAATAAAATTTATATACCTTCAACAACTTCCGGTTTAGTGGTGTAGCGGCTATCACGTTTCGTTTACAAGTGTTATCACAGTAAGTACCGAAAAGGCCCCGAGTTCGATCCTCGGCTAGATCAAGTTGTCTTATTTTTTTTATTTTTTTTTGTCTTTAGAGCAGCCAACACAATATGAGGGCATACTGCACTTAGGGTTCATGGTAGCTACAATCATACTATTCAATCATAAATATTTTACTGAAAATCACACTATACACTTATAATTTGGAACCAGTCACGAAGCTAGTACCTTGATCGATAGATTTCTGCAAGCCATCTAACGCGACATCAACTAGCTTAGATTCTTCAGACGAAACATTCAACTTATCGAATGGATTCACGAAAGATTTGATTTGTCCATTTTCAAGGATAACTGGAACAGAGAAGAATTCGGCATTCTTCAAGTGCTTTTGTGATAATTCCTTTCCATTTGGAACACCTGGTAAGTAGATATAAGATGAATCAGGGATTTCTGAATTTTCAGATTGACCGTTCAACGACCCAATGACCTTCTCTGCGAACCTATAACCAGCATATGCCATGGATAAGGTGGCCGAACCAGCACCGTTCTTAGCTTTAACAACCTCGTCACCACCAAATTGGACTCTGTGGATAAATTCGTCGTACTGGCTCTTGGAGAGACCCGATACTTTCTTCGCAACCAGTGCTGTAGCATGGACCAAGGGCACAATAGTGTCACCCGAATGACCCCCAATCACGGAAATCTGACCCTTCAACGAGGATGGAGTTTCCTTGATTAATTCGCCCAAAAATGTTTCGGCTCTCACTGAATCCAACGTTGTGACCCCAAAGAGCTTTTTTGGGTTGAATACACCCAATTTCTTCAACACTTCAGCCGCAATTGGAACAGTCGAGTTCACAGGGTTCGAAATAATCAATATCGCAGCCTTAGGGCATGCCTTACCAATGCTTGCAACAATATCCCTAATGATAGACGCATTGATATTGAACAAGTCCCCACGGGTCATTCCCGGCTTTCTAGGAACTCCTGCTGGAATCACCACCAAATCTGAATTTACCAACGCCTTGTGAATCGTGTCCTTATCTTCTTTGCTGCTAGGTTGATATCCTGTAACTTTAGCTGGACTACAGATGTGTGATAAATCGGCTGCAACCCCATTTGCGTTAACCACATCATATAATGATAATTCGCTCACCTGCTGATTTAATTTTAATAATAACGACAATGGCTGTCCAATGCCTCCTGCTGCTCCACAAACTGTAACTTTAACCATTCTGAAATACTGTATTGATAATAAACTACTAAGATAAATTTCCACGAATTCGTTCCATTTAAGTAACAATTAGTACCCCATCATGAGGTCTATGACTTTGAGTCACATGTGAAGATAGGCCTCGGCAAAGTTGACAATTCAGAGGAGATGAAGGATTTTGCGGATTAGTGAGTTTTGCAGATTACATATTTTTCAAAAATTGCATGTTACATCATTTACGGGTTATGTCTTTTTAGCGTATACAACGTTTATTGCCGTCTAACGTATAAAAGAAGCATAATAGCGGGATAACTATAAGCGTAATGAATTATCTATATCTAGTCAGCGTTGCACTTGGATTTATTGGCGGTGTGAGTGGAATCGATTGTGGTGCCAAAGAACTCAAGGATTACAACTTTGAAAGCTTTAAAGGCATACATTCGGTGACGAAGTTGAAAGATACACCACCCACGCAAACTAACGTTACGTGGTATATTGGGATATGTGATACCATAAGTGAGAAAATAGAACATTGTCCTAAGAATTCGGATCTTTGCGGGATAACACTGATTAATTTGGAGAAAAATTCCCAGAAGGATGCAGTTGTGTCGGAGATTGTTGGATTCAACACGAATTTGCAGAAGCAATACAAGCCATTCACCAAGGATGGGGACAAAAAGGAAGATGGTATCACCATTGTGTATAAGGGTGCGAACTGGGGTGACAATTTAGTCGATGCTGAGTTGAGATTTGTATGTGCAAGCTCGTCTGATAACGACAAAGACTTGGACAAGTTCGAGTTGCACCAGTGGGACGACAAGCGGTTGAAAGTCTCTGTTAAGACCAAGGCTGCATGTATCACCGATAAAAAGGATAAGAAGAAGCCAGACCACAAGAAAGACAAAGATAAAGTCGACAATGGTGAGTCTTGGGGGTGGTTCACATGGATCTTCATCTTCTTAGTGTTATTTTTAAGTATCTATATCGTGGGTGGTGCGTGGTTTCAATACAGCAAGGGGAATGCGATCGACTTTCAGAGTGCTTTGAGAGAAGTGTTAGAAAACTTTGTGAGCTTACTTAGGGGGTTGCCTAGTTTCGTAAGGGAGATAATTGAAAAATTCACAGGTAATAGTAATAGAGGTGAATATAGCGCAGTTTAGCATTTATAGTTCAATTATTAATTAGGTTTTGCATATGCCGATACATCCACTTCTTGGGAGTGTGCTGATGGTGCCAGACTAAGTATTTAAGTCCTTATAAGCGAATATAGACATGTTAGACATGGTGATTGTAGAGATAATCCAATCGGAGTCATAGTACTTCACGTGACATTACTCTACCTAAATTATCAACGCTCATTTGTAACTTTCAATAGAGACGATATATATTTGCAAACAACTACATCAAATAAGTATGCCAACGGTAAAAGAGAGGGTACAGGCATTGAAGCCTCATCAGAGGTTTGTGTCGTTTGAATTTTTTCCACCGAAAACAGATACTGGGTTTCGTAATTTGTTAGCTAGATTGAATCGTATGCTGGCGTTAAACCCATTATTCATCACAGTTACTTGGGGAGCAGGTGGATCTACTAGTGAAAAGTCTTTAGATTTGGCAGCAACATGCCAGAAAGAGATAGGACTCACAACGGTGTTACACTTAACATGTACCAATACAAATAAAGAGATCATTGACAATGCGTTGAAAAAGGCCAAAGAGCAGGGTGTAAGGAATATTCTCGCTTTGAGAGGTGATCCTCCTAGAACAGAGGAATATTGGGTGCCAGATTGTGATTTTAACAATGCAGTAGATTTAGTTAGATATATTAAGGAGCAATATGGTGACTATTTCTGTATTGGTGTTGCGGGATACCCTGAGGGCCATGTTGATGGCTCAGATAACTCGAACCAGGATCCTCGTAATGATATGCCATATTTAGTTGACAAGGTCGAAGCCGGTGCAGACTATATTATAACACAATTATTCTTTGATGTTGATAAATTCATTAAGTACGAAGCTATGATTAGATCATACCCACAGTTAAAGGATATAATTTTAATCCCAGGTTTAATGCCTATAACCACATACAAAGTATTCACCAGAGCTACTAAGTTGTCTCATGCATCAATTCCATTGGAAATTCAATCTAGCTTACACTCGTCTAGTTATGATGATGATTTAGTGAAAAATATTGGTATTGAAGTTGTTAATAAAATTATTGATGAAATAGATTCTAAAACTGATGACCGTATCAAGGGATATCATTTTTACTGTCTTAATTTAGAAAAGGCGGTAGCATCTATTATAAATAATTCTGATGTATTGAAATCAGTTATGGATTTGCCAGATGAAACCAACGATAATGAAGATGCAATTGCATCTGATTCAGATGAGGATATTCAACCCGTAGCAATATCAAATAAAAGAAGAAAATCTTCTATTGTTAATGATAACGAATTGGCTGATAAAGCAAGCGCCCAAAAGAGTCTCGTTAGCAAGGCTTTAATTGGTGATAAGAGAACTTTAGTGGATATTAGTACCGGTAAAGGTGCGTTAGGTAAAGATGCTACATGGGATGATTTTCCAAATGGTAGATTCGGTGATTCGAATTCTCCAGCCTATGGTGAAATCGATGGTTATGGTCCAACTTTGAAAATTTATTCTCCAGACGAAGCTTTTCACAAATGGGGAGCGCCAGAATCTGTCAGTGACATTATTAAAGTATTTGTCAGCTATTTATCAGGTAAGATAGATTCATTACCTTGGGTTGATGCGGCGTTATCGCCAGAAACGGCTTTAATTCAAGAAGAATTATTTGAAGTAAACAACAAAGGTTGGTTTTCATTGGCTTCGCAGCCTGCAGTTAATGGTTGTTTGTCGTCTGATAAAATTTTTGGTTGGGGACCCAGCAATGGTATCATTTACCAAAAGGCTTTTATTGAAATTTTCATTCCTAAAGAGACGTGGACTAATAAGTTATTACCGGGATTACAAAAGTATTTAGATGATCAATCAATCACCTATTATTGCGGTGATTCCGAAGGACACCTTTCTTCCAATTTACAAATTGATAAAGACCAATATAACAGCAAAAATGCTATTACATGGGGTGTCTTTCCTCTGAAGGAAGTTTTGCAACCAACAATAATTGACCTTGAGTCTTTCAAGGCTTGGAATGAAGAAGCATTTATATTGTGGTTAGAATGGGCTAGATGTTATAAGAAAACATCTAAGACATATGAATTATTAAATTCTATTTACAAGGATTATTATTTAGTCAGTTTAATATCTCATGAATTCAGCGATGAGTATGCTTTATGGAACATTTTATTAGAAAACAAATAACTCCCATTCTATAATTGGAAACTCTGAATATTCATCAAATCATTATATATCAAATATTAGTTATTAGAGAATTATCTTCAGTATAGTAATGTACTTTATAATTTTATCTTACTGGTTCGAAATAAGTTCTTCATTAAGTAAATCTATGTGTTTTTTAACGATTCCACTGTTTAGTTTTTCAGCAAGTGAGCTATCATTTTCATCTATACCTAAATATTGACACTGTATTTTCTCTAGCATTAAGACACCATTCATCACAAGAGTACCTTTATTCACAAGAAGTCTACCTCCCAATGGGATACCTAAGGGCGTACCTGTAGAATTATTTTGTCTTAAGAATTGCAAACTGTCATTGTATTCATAGGCAAAGCAGTAGTTATCAAAATTATCTTTCAATAACAATTTATATATGCCACCATAACGAGTAAAATTACTGAAAGTCAGTTCATTATCTTTACTCATATCAACCTCTCTAATGATACGATTACCCAGGTACTTCTTATTATTATACTTGCTCACTCGATCTACCGAAACACTATTTGGGTCTTCATATTCTTGCCATTCATCTAATTGATTCAAACGCGATCTGGAAATATCACTAACTTGTATTATATTAAATAGTATAGGATGCTGTGTATAGGCTGACTTCTCTGACAAATACTGCTGAGGGTCGAAGGAATTTCTTGTAGCTATTTGTAAATTATCCATAGATTAGTTAAAGAGTGTTAATTCTAATTTGCATTACATAAATTTATTCTAGGCTGCGCATATTAATGATAAATATATCATTAACTGAACTCAGACGAACTATTTATTTTTGCTATGTCATCTTTGTTTGTTGGTGATGAAGATGGAGAAGAATATACACTGCATGATAGAGATGACTCCATAATTTTAGAGAACCCAATAGAGAGTGAAAAGGAAATCAAAGATGATTCAAATCTGGAGCCGTCAATTCCAATAAACTATGAAGATTCCAATACTACAATATACCAGACACGAGAAATATGTTGTTCGTTGCCATTGAGGTTTCATCAAGAAATAGTGGAGGATATGCTATCCAAAGATGGACTTTTGATTCTAGGTAGAGGTTTAGGATGGGAGCTTGTTACGGCAAATTTATTGCATGCATTGAGTGCACCTACTGTAATTCTTCAGAGTAATGGAAAGGAAAAAAAGACAAAGAAGAGCTTGTTGATATTGCTTAACTCAAGAGAAGAGGAAATATTTAAATTGAGTGAAGATTTAACAGAACTTCGTTGGATTGATAAAAGAAACGAAGATACAAACGAGTCTGGGTTCGATCATCCTCCATTGATAACTATTGGTGGAGACTCAATGACAGTAGATAAACGTAAAAGAGTTTATGAAAACGGAGGTATTGTTTCCGTTACGTCAAGGATATTGGTTGTAGATTTACTATCTGGGGTGGTACAGCCGAATGATATAACTGGTTTATTCATACTACACGCTGAGAAGGTGAAGGAAACATCGAACGAGTCTTTTATTATTAATTTGTATCGTGATGTTAATGACTGGGGTTTTGTTAAGGCAGTTTCTGATGAACCTGAGTCCTTTACGGGATTTACACCATTGGCAACAAAGCTCAAGGTTTTACGTTTATCGAACGTATTTTTATGGCCAAGGTTTCATGTTGAGGTGTCGTCATCGTTAAACTTTAGAGGAAAAAATCTACCTAATCGGCAAAAGCAAGAGTTGGAACGCAGACGATTTGTTACAGAAATTAACACTAAACTATCATATAAAATGAATAAGATTCAATCAGCAATATTATCATGTATTCAAGCATGTTTACTGGAATTAAAGAGACATAACCCACTGTTGGTCACAGAATACTGGGATATGGAAAATATACATGACTCTGATTTTGTTCCTCGTATAAGACTTTCGTTAGATTCTCAGTGGCATCGTATATCATGGACTTCAAAACAGTTAGTTTACGATTTGACTACATTGAAAGATTTACTAAAGTATTTGTTAATTTTGGATTCCTTAAGCTTTTATCAGGTTGTTCAAGAAATTATTGATCTGAATATTAAGACCACAGGTAATGATTCCATGAATGTTGCAAGTATGAGTCCATGGTTGAATTTAGATGAGGCCAATACGATTATATCATATGCCAAAGAACGAGCATTAGGAAAGATTATAGTTTCCAAATCTAGGATAACGATAGGGGATGAAAATGAAGAAGAAGGAGGTAACGAGATGGCTGAAAATACACAAGAATCAGAAATACAGACAGAAGAATATAATTTAGAAGAGCTACCAAAATGGGACCAACTTGGAATTTTACTCGACGATATAATGTATGAAAAATCTCAGAATACAGCTAACCATGGCCCAATTGTAATTATGTGTTCTGATTCTAAAACTGCAAAACAGTTGAGTTATTTGATATCAAATATGAAGGATATTACTAATACAGATTCAAGGAGAAAAAGATTTAGTGGAAGGAAATTTATGGTCAACAAGCTAAATGATTATCTCGAATGGAAGGAGTTCACTTCATTAACAAGAAAGCTTAATTCTGAGCTTGATATGAAGAAGCAAGAGGAGATCTCAGAAGTTAATGAGCCCGAAAGAGCAGCTACTCCCGAGGAAGAGTTACAAACTTCCAAAACATTCTCTAGAGGGAAGGGCCATCCATTAAGTAAGAGAAGACGAACCAGAGGCGCATCGGCTGTAGCAAATGTTGGTAGGTTATATTCGGGGTCTAATAAAGGACGTACAAATGAGGCTGTTGAACTTGACGCTGCTATCGTAAATAAGCTTAAAGAAGAGATAAATGAAAAACAGCTTGATGAAAACCCTGGAAGTGGTAATAATTCTGACGACAACGCAGGAGGATTTTTAGTCGATGAGGATCAAGGTCAGGTAGTAGATATTCAAGACGTAGACTATTTTAATGAGGTGTGTGAATATAGAACCAGTGAAATCATTTTTGAGAATATTGATAAGGACGATCAAATAATCATTGAAACGTATAATGATAAGACCAATGATTCATTACTCCAGGAAGTTTCACCAGCATATATTATCATGTATGAACCGAATTTATCATTTATTAGACGTGTTGAAATATATCAAGCAGTGAATAAGGAATATCCTGCTAAGACTTATTTTATGTACTATGGTACTTCTGTTGAAGAGCAAAAACACTTAATGAGGATTAAGAAAGAGAAAGATGCATTCACCAAATTAATTCGGGAAAAGGCAACATTGGGTAAGCATTTCGAATCTGCCCAAGACAACAACAAGTTTCAATTAAATAGGAACAAGGTTGTTAATACCAGAATTGCTGGAGGTGCAAGATTTAGAATGGAGGAAGATGAAATGAGAGTAGTTGTTGACGTTAGAGAGTTCCGTTCGTCACTTCCGAATTTATTATATCGAGTTGGCATAAAGGTCGTTCCGTGTATGATAACAGTCGGTGATTACATTGTTTCTCCTAAGATTTGCATTGAAAGAAAGGCCATTCCGGATTTAATATCGAGTTTTAAGAGCGGTAGGTTATACAGCCAATGTGAACAGATGTTCCGCCATTATGAATTGCCTACTTTACTTATTGAATTCGACGAGAGTAAATCTTTCTCGTTCGAGCCTTTTTCTGATTTAAGAAACTACAAGGTCAATGCTACAAATCCAATTGCAACAAAGTTGCAACAACAGGACATTCAATCAAAGTTAATCATGTTGTTAATTTCGTTTCCAAAGCTAAAAATCATTTGGTCTTCTTCACCATACGAGACGGCGCAAATTTTCTTAGAGTTGAAGGCTAACCAGGAGGAACCTGATATTAGTGCTGCTGTCGCTAAAGGTGTTAATCAATCGATAAAAATTAGTAGTGGTGAACCTCCCCTCTACAACGATAATGCGATCGATTTGATTCAGAATATTCCTGGAATCAACAATATTAATTATTACAAAGTTATTGAAAAAGTTCAATCGATTGAAGAATTGGTCAAGCTATCTGAAGATGAGTTTACAGATTTAATAGGGATAGAGAATGGTAAGAAGGCCTACAAATTCATCCATCGTTCGGTAAAGTAAACATATTTAAAGAAATTCACGTGATAGTTTGTTTACAAAATTGCAAAAATTGGAATCTTGTTGCTAAATAAGCCGTTAAAACAATTAATAGACAAAATTAGTTTAATCATTTAATATAAATAATTACCCTATTAAACTGCCGATAAGCGCATTATTATATCTAGTATACCTGCTGCTGTATCTTGGACTGGGCCTTCAATATGAGAGGCAGAGCACCGAGCACGTTTGCACAAAATAATGCTCATCCCGGCCTGAACCAACAAAACAGCACCAGCAAGACTAAGGCTAAGAATTTAGAATTCAAATATCTTTATTTTAAGATCCAAAAACTAATTAATAAGAGAGTGGTATTGAGTTTGAAATATGAACAATTGAAGTCACCTGGAGTTCATTCAACTTTAATGAAACCATTAGGATCGAAAATTGTGGAGATAGCATCAATTAGTAATTTATCTAAGAGAATTAGTAGGGTTCTTAATTCTTTACCTACTAACTCACCCTTCCAAACTCCGAGGTTTGGCCCACAAGCAAATTCAAACTATAGTCATGATGCTAACGGAGGCCTGAAAGTATCAATTAATTTAGTTTGTATTTTATTGCTTTTGAGACTCGAGTTTACAATTCAGGCGGAGAACAATTTAATTAAATATGACATATTGAATACCAAGGCAACAATATGTGAAATACTAGCAATAAGAATGTTGAGAGAATATAAGGCATATGACCGTATTAATTTGTTATTTACAAATCCTATGCGAGATGATCATTTCCAGAACAAATTTCCTTCCCGGATATCATCATACAACACTCTCGAATTGGCAGTATTATCAAAATCGAAAAAGTTTCTTTCTCAGCCTGTTATTGAACAAATATTGGATAGATTTTATGATGGAGAATTGATCGTTAAGAGAAACAATGATCTCATTAATGATTCGATTGTTCAATCTTTATTGGACGTGAATTCAATGTTTCCGAACTTGGAGGAGCAAACCTGTTTGTTAAACGATAAGAGTGAAAATGCAGTTATAAATTATACTTTCAAAAAACTATCCTTGCATAAGATAACCACAAGAGCAAACATAGTTCCGAAATATCAATCACTTGTTATGAATATGAAGTTGATCTTTTTCGCCACTTTGCATTTTATATTAATTTTGGAACAAAAGCAAACAGAATGGTATACTGATCCGAATAATACATTTATGAGAATAACTGAACTTCTTTATTGGTTATTAGCTTTTAATTTCAATTTTGAGCTTTTTATTAAACTCAGGAATATTAACTTTAAATTCTTGAGAAAAATTATATGGACCTATGCTGACTTGATTCTAGTCTTATTAATTGATTCTGCCCTTATATTAAGGATATTTTCTCTTTTAAATAAAGTGGGTACCGAAGATTATCATGATGCATTTAGTTTGATCTCAATAATATTGTTGCCTAGAATTTTATCGGTATTCAACAATTATGAATTTTTTAATATGATAACGCAGTCTTTGAAGAAGATGCTTTGGAAATTAATTGGCTTATTCTTCTTATTTATTTCATTGATAAGTGGGTTTTATTTGACGTTTATTTCATTAGCTATTGACCGTAATAGCTACGAAATTGCATTTGATATGCTCAAAGTCTTTTTTGGGTTTACACCGGCTGTTTGGAGTAACTGGGACAGTTATAATAATTTAGGTCGAGCAATCCAGATGGGTTATTTATTTTTAAGTCAGTTCATTATAGCTACTATCTTAGCTATTGTACTAAGTCAGGTATTTTCCAAGGTATCTCTATCTAACAAGGAAGAATTTGCATATTTCAAGTCTACGAATTTAGTGGTTTATTTTCAGACTTCAGACATATTCTATGAAAATGGGTTTTACGGCAAGAGTAATAGCTTATCAACTATTGGCATCTTGTATATGTTTATGAACTTATTTAAGTTTCCAATTATTTTGATTATTTTTATTTATGAATTAATTGTTGCAAATATTAATTCAAAGAAGGGCCAAAATGATTTGAAGCAGTTTACATTTTTAAATAAAGAGCAAGATTATTATCAAGATCAAGACTTGGTGAACATGGATTCAATTGATGATGATACAGATGTGAGCTTAATGATGGTCAAAACAAGAAATAATTCAATGTTTCAGGCCTTACCAGGCAGAAAAATTAGTTCTGTCGATAATGGAAACCACCATGTATCTTCCCATTTATTCAACAACCTTGCTCCTGCTAAGTCCATAAGCACGCTCGGAAACCTTAGAAGTGCATCTACAGATTCATTCATCATTGATGAAATACTTGCTAAAAAATATGCCGTCAATGGTAATGTTATTGCCCAGACTCCCGTCCATCAAGGCTTGGAAATCGCCAAGACTGCCAATATCGAGGCCAATTCCAAATTATCAGCATCTCAACAATCAAAATGGCTTACTGATCGAAAGTCGTTAATGAGCATGAACAACCTTGCATCAAATGCCAACTTTAGGGCCCCCTCAGGTAAGAAAATCAAAAAGAGAAAGAAGAACGTGAACAACGAAATAATGACCAAACTCAATAAACTCGAAACATTAGTAGACATGCTTGTAAACCAGCAACATGATCAGGATGAAACGGTGCATGCATTTCCCCAACAGATCTACGACGATCAAAGCATAATTCAAGAAGTAGAAGAGAATGATTCTAGTTCGGTTATCAGAGGCGATACCGAACACAATAACTTTGGTGAAATTTACAGAATTAACGAAGTGTCTCTTGATGATATGGATCTGCTCAATATGTCTCACGAAGATGCGGATGCAGGTGAAGATGACGAAGTAGATACCTCAACCGAAGTAGAATCTGATGATACATACTGATTTACCCCGATGTGCACATAGTTGATGCATCCGAGGTAGTTCCGAGGCACTTTAGATACTCAATTATATGTAGATTTGCTATACAATATATAACGATATACGATTAACATTAAGATAAGCACAGCGTTATCTGCTCGATTTCTTTATCATATGACCACCGACGTCAAGCTGATTAATTCCGTTAGTTTACGCTTGTGATTACATTTTAAACCACTGTCATTTGCTGAGAAAATGGCTCGGTTGAACTCGGGCTTTGTGTCATTTACTTTTTCAAAAAATTTTCGGATTGATCTATTATCATAAGACTATTATTACTGGATAAAGTTTTATGGCAAGTCATATTTCTAGGCATATATATTAGTTATTGTATTTCGAGGAAATTGGAAAAAAAAATTTGGAAGATAGTATAGAAACTTTGATAAGAAGCATTTTTGTTAATACTATTCCACTTATTCCAATTTACATGTACATAGAATAGAAACTGTCATACAGATGCCTCATAATACTAAAAGCATGAACAACATATTGAACATAAAAGACAACCATGTCCAAATAGGGGGACGGAAATCCAAATTGGCGGTAGTACAATCAGAGATAGTGAAGGGTTGTATCATTGAAAAATTTCCGGAGTTGAGCTGCTCTGTCCTAGCATTAAGTACCTTGGGAGACAAGGTGCAAACCAAACCATTATATTCATTCGGAGGAAAAGCTTTGTGGACTAAGGAATTGGAGATTTTGTTATTAGAACAAGTTGACGAGTATCCACAGTTAGACTTGATTGTTCATTCGTTGAAAGACATGCCAACCAACTTACCCGAGGAATTCGAACTCGGATGCATATTAAACAGAGAAGATGCCAGAGATGCATTAGTCATGAAGAGTGGATCTCCATATAAGACTTTGGCCGATTTACCTGACGGGTCGTTGGTTGGTACCTCATCGGTTAGGAGGTCGTCGCAATTATTGAAAAACTACCCAAAATTGAGGTTTGATTCTGTCAGAGGAAACCTCCAAACCAGATTGAATAAATTAGACGACGCAAACTCGCCTTTCGAATGCTTATTATTAGCATCCGCTGGATTGATTAGGATTGGGTTAGGCGATAGAATCACCGCTCACTTGGACGCTCCTGAAATGTACTATGCTGTTGGTCAAGGTGCATTGGGGATAGAAATCAGGAAGGGAGACCAAAAAATGCTTCAATTATTGAAAACTATAGAGCATTTGCCTACAACATACTGTTGTCTTGCTGAAAGATCTTTAATGAGACACCTTGAAGGTGGTTGTTCTGTTCCAATAGGAGTCCAGTCATCTTATAACGAGTCTACGAACAAATTATCTTTGAAAGCAATAATAGTAAGCCCAGACGGCACGAAGTCCGTTGAAGATGAATATACGGGTATAGTCCACACCAAAGAGGACGCTGATGCCCTCGGTATCAAGGTTGGTGATTTATTAAGTGCCAAGGGAGGTAGGGAAATCCTAAATAGCATAAACTTTGAAAGAATCAATCTTCCACCTGTATCAAATACCCCTACCCCTCAACCAACCACTCCTATTAATGCTAATAGTTCTTAATGAGTATGAAGAAAAGCCACGACGTTTCCACCAAATTTGCTGCTACATTGGTGCTACATAATATTACAATGCCATAATTTATTTTTTCCTGTTCATATTTCTAAATAAAAAGTGTATATTATCATCCTATAAACATTCTATAATAATTCTTTATATCATTCTATGATGGGCCATGAGAAGGCTAAGTAATCACTCCATAATATATAATTGGCTGATAATCTTTCTCGCGCTATGTAAATATTGCACCCGATTATCGGACGCTTTAGTGTGTTTCTTTTTTTTGACATCGTTCCTGTCGTTTAATTTTTTTTTATACGAGGCAACGTGAAATATATATATTAAAATAACAGTCGATTTCTTTCGCTAATAACTAGACATACGGACATACTTTCACTAGCAAATTTGCAAGCTTAAGTTTCAAATACAAACCTTTAACTATGGATATTGTGCTAGAGATTTTTGATTATTATCTTTTAGATAAGACGTATGCGTCCTTGTTACCACGGTCGTTGAATAACACGATTTCGGATTCTATCGGCAAACTAGGCGGAAATGAATTAACTTCTTCATTCTATAAGAATTACAACGAAAACCATAACAGCACATTAACATCTGCCTCGACAAGTTCGAATTTGAATGTTCCATTGAGAGTTTTGTTGAATAAATTGCAAACTTTTCAGAACCCCGATGAGGTGTACGGTGAAGTGCCAAAATTGTTTCCACTTAACGACTTCACCAATGATTCCTTGCTTTTAAGAACGAACATTTTCAGACAGGCATTTTCGATTTTTATAATAACAGCTGTCTTTGGGTGGTTGTTATACTTCAGTGTTGCCTATATGTCATATCTTACTGTTTTTGACAAGAAAATATTTAATCACCCTAGATATTTGAAAAATCAAATTTGGTTGGAGATACATAGGGCTACGACGGCAATCCCTGTAATGGTGTTGTTAACAGTTCCATTCTTTTTGATGGAATTACAAGGCTTTTCTAAATTATACATGGAAGTAAATGAATCTACCGGGGGTTGGAAAGCTATTTTGTTACAGATACCTCTGTTCATTTTGTTCACTGATTGTGGAATTTATTTTATTCACAGGTGGTTACACTGGCCTTCGGTCTACAAGATATTGCATAAGCCACATCACAAATGGATTGTTTGTACTCCTTTTGCATCTCACGCTTTTCACCCAGTTGATGGATGGGCACAATCACTCCCATATCATATATACCCAATGATTTTCCCATTACACAAGGTGTCTTACTTATTACTTTTCACGTTTGTTAATTTTTGGACAGTTATGATTCACGACGGGCAATACTTGTCAAATGATCCTGTAGTCAATGGTACTGCTTGCCATACTATTCATCATTTATATTTCAATTACAATTATGGACAGTTCACTACCTTGTGGGATAGATTAGGAAGATCTTACAGAAGACCTGATGACAATTTGTTCGTTAAGGATACCAAGAAGGAGGAAGAAGCAAGGTTGTGGAAAGAACAAACACAGAAGATGGAAGAAATTAGAGGTAAATTAGAAGGAAAGGGTGATGATAGAGTATATCACTAAACCACAGACACTTTCAAAAGATACGATCGTATTTTATTAATATAATTCTTATAATATGACACTTTATATGTTTAAATAATAGATACTTAATGCAAATAATAATTCAATTTTCAGTGTAGGACGTATATGCACTCTACCGGAAAATGGTCCACCACAAGCTTTATCTATAGAACGAATGCAATTAGTAGTATAGGAACGTAACTGGAAAAAAAATTACAATAGTAACATAGGAAATAATACCATGAATCCCGGTTACAATCCAGGGAATGTAAATCATATAGCATCGCATTCAAATAGGACAAAAAATGGAGTTCCAACGATTCCCCAACCAGCGTTGATGGCTCTGAATGCCATATTAACTATAGGACCATATAAACACAGAAAAGATTTAATAAGAGAATCAGTGCTAAGTAAATATCAAATCATTGGTTATATTGCAGCGGGAACTTATGGTAAAGTTTATAAAGCTAAGTCTAAAACGAATGGAAATCTGAATTCCAATTCTGCATTGATGAATGATAATGTGATAAGCATAGGGAATAACCAGAAGGAAACTGGACCCCAAAAGACAAATAATGAAATGACGGAGGATAAAAACCAACTATTTGCCATTAAAAAATTTAAAAGTGATAATCATCTGAATAAGAATAACCATGATATCAACGGAAATGAGGTTATTCATTATACGGGTATATCACAATCAGCCATCAGAGAAATGTCGCTTTGTCGGGAATTAAGCAATAAGAATATAACTAAGGTTGTAGATATATTACTAGAGAATAAATCTATCTATATGGTATTTGAATACTGTGAACATGATTTATTGCAAATCATTCAGTATCATTCGCATCCTGACGTTAAACCAATACCTGACTTTACAATCAAATCAATAACGTGGCAGATATTAAATGGTGTAACCTTCTTACACAAGAACTGGATATTTCATAGAGATTTGAAGCCTGCCAATATTATGGTGTCAAGTTCAGGAGTGGTGAAGATCGGTGATTTGGGTTTAGCAAGAAAATTTAATAACCCTTTGCAAAGTCTCTACACTGGAGACAAGGTAGTTGTGACAATTTGGTATAGAGCGCCTGAACTATTATTGGGTGCTAGACATTATACGCCTTCAATTGATTTATGGGCGGTTGGATGCATATTAGCCGAGTTGTTGTCATTACGGCCTATATTTAAGGGTGAAGAAGCAAAGATAGACATGAATAATAGGAAGCTGGTTCCATTTCAAAAGAATCAATTGCAAAAGATTATTGAGATATTAGGGACCCCTACGACCAGAACTTGGCCCACAATCACGAAATACCCAGAGTATTCAGCATTCCAACAGCATTTCACTACTACATACCCACAGAACTTAACTAGTTGGTACAAGCTTATTGGGAGAACCAACAAACAATGTTTAAATTTGCTAAAATGCTTATTAGAATATGATCCAACTATACGTATAACTGCTGATGATGGGCTAACTCATGCATTCTTTTTAGAGTTACCTAAAATGAGTGAAAATGCATTTGAAGGATTAAATCAAAAATATCCAAAGAGAAGGATTTATACACATGAAAACGATATTATGTCGAACCTGCAACATGGCAACAAAAGACACGGTTATGATGACAACATGACGAGAAAGAGACAGAGGTAACTCCAAGCGTATAATAGACTACCAATCTTGGGTATTTGAAAATTACAGAGAGAATAAATCGTTGCTACACATTCTGCAGATATTTTGTTGAAATCAGAAAACCAATTGAAAAGGAAGGTCTTACCATACTTTCGATTCCCTTTAAGGAGTTTTCAATTGCCTAAAGAGACGTAACAAGTACCAAACAAATCACATATTTTCGTATATATAATTTTAAATACTTTAATAGGCATATGACAAATTACTTCTTTGATTGTTTGTACATATAATAATGCACAAAATACTAATACTCGGATGATATTGTAGGACTAGTAAATCGATGCCTTGCGCGACACATAAATAAATATTACTACAACAAAACATTACTCGCTTTCTAAGTCTGCGATTGCCTAATGAATCAGTACGATAACAAGGAGACGATTTATAGCGGCCCCAATGCAGTCGTATATAAAGCAATTGATCGTGAAAGCCAAAATATAGTGGCATTGAAAGTGGTGGATGTTGATTTATGTATGAAACCCCATGATATAAGGCGGGAGATCACCACATTACAAAGAATTCAGAATAAAGGAATACTACAATACTTAAATCTGTATACACATGGAGATGATATAATATTGGTAACTCCATGTTATCAGTTTGATCTAGACCAATGGATCAAAAGATGCATAAAGAAGAAGGTCAAATTTAACCTCGATGACCCCACCAACAACATGATCCATTATCGTAACGAATTTCCTACGGATAAGATAAAAAAAATAATGTCTACGTTAGCAGATGTCCTTAGATATCTTCACGATGACGAGGGTATAATCCATCGTGATATCAAGCCATCAAACGTGTATTTCGAGTCCGAAGACTCGCCTCCAGTTCTTGGGGATTTTGGCATCATGTACAATACAAAGGCCCCACCTCCGGATGAGCCTATGGAATCCAAATACACAGATGTATCCACCGGTATATTTAAAGCGCCCGAGTTGTGTTTTGGCATGGCCGACTACACGCAAGCCATCGATATCTGGTCGTTAGGTATTATATTCACATTATTATATTCAACAACAGGGAAGTCTTGCATCGATGAGGAAGGAAATTTCCACGACTTAACGCTTATCAGTTCCATATTTCAGAACTTTGGGACACCCCTGACGAGTGATGCTTCTGATAAGCGGCTTTATTGGCCCGATGCTAATCGCCCGCAGAGCCATTTTAACAGCTTCAAATTCACAGAAAAACCTCGAAAGCCTTTAGAAGAGCTATTGCCTCGATGCGATGATCCTAATATGCTACATATTTTTGATAGGATGATGGTTTATCAGGGTAGTGAAAGAATTACTGCTAAAGAAATCCTCACGTGTATAGAATGAATAAAAAAAAAAAACTTCTCCACAATTCCCCTCTGCCGCATATATATTTTGATGATTTCTATATAAATTTCAAGTCAAGATTTAAATTATCTATTGGTTTTGAATAGCAAAATAGTAGAATTTCGAGATGTCGTCGACAATAATTAGCAAAGGTATCAATAAGCTTTCATTAAACTCGTCGGGAGGACCAACAGATGAAGATTTTATACGCAATATTGACTATGACGAACTAGAGAGAAAGTTTCATGTATATAAATATTACCCCCAGTTTATACACAACGAGTTATCAACACCAAATCTCAAGGAAATGATCGCTGATAAACCTATATATGCCAAGGCTAACGATCACTTGACCAAAGAGCAAAAACGGGAGCAGATAAAAGAGCTCAGGCGGGCATATATGAGGGAGCAAAAGCAAATTAGACAACGAGAAAAGGAGTACAAAAGACAAGAGCCGGTAATCAGCAGATGGGGCAACTGTGATGCTATGAAAAGGAGGGCTTCAAGAGTAGATGAAGGTCTCGAGGATATGCGAAGACCACGCCAAATGACTCACGAAGAGAACAGGGATATGAATGGCCAGGGACCGCACGATACCACCCACCATGATCGCCGGGAGACTATGGGGGCCACTAATGGGCACTCGCGCCACCACTCGAAGCACGAGATGATTTTCCGTAATCCGTTTGATTCTAATCAGTCTGCGCAAATCGAGAACGACCCCACGACAAGTGCGGTGAAAACACACCGCCAAAACTCGATAGCAGGCAAGTTTATGAGCTTCATAAAGGGCCGCCTGGACGACGAATCGAGTGACGACAATAATTTGGCCTTGAGCAAGTCTTATGACCAGACAAAATCGACCATGACTACTACCCGCAAGAAATCTAAGCTGCACGGTTTCAAAATGAGAATTAACGAGTTGACCAACAGGAGATATACTGACCAACTAGGTATGTATTTTTTTAGATATATTATTTGATTATTTGACTATTGGGAGGGATAACAAGAGCTACGGGAGCCACGAGAACAAGGAACACGAATGAGTTAAGGTTGAAGGTGGAAAATTCACACACAACTACCGGACGCAACAGAATATTCCAAATACGACTACAATCACTCGTAACCAAAGCATAGCACGAATCGAAAAGAACAAATCATACACTTCACCACAGGCATGGCAAAAGCATGGCACATTACTACGCTTACCACTCTACACTAAGTGCAGTGCGACCCCAGGTTTTCACGGATTCTTCCATGAACGGAAAGTGTCGGATATAGACGGGGAACGTCATAGGCAAATGACAGTCTCCGAACGTGTCCGAAGGCGCGCCCAGCGCGCTTCGACTCCGGAGGCTGCCACTAAAAGTGGTGGTCCTGTCTCGGGGAAGCGGGCTGCAGTCGAAACCTGGGGTTGACAACATCAGGTTTAGCGAGTAATCATGGGCTTGTCTCCTGGACTAACTATCACTACCACTACCAGGAGCTACCAACGCCATATGTAATATGCACAGCAGTGGGCACCAATAGCAAGCAAGATAGCGTTGGTGCCATGCCAGCAAGCTACTCCTGAAATCGAGTCGTGTCGTGCCCATAACCAATACTCCTCAAAGCTCATTCAACACAAGTTGACGAATGCGTGACCTTCCATAGTAGATCAATCAAATATAATCATCATTATTTCACTATTTACAGTTGACGTTCAATTATTAGTCTTTTGGAAAAGCCAAATTATAGCATTGAATACATCATAAAAGAGCCACAGAAGAGCCACCTGAGTGACAAGCATAACGCATTCCATAGACCGAACATTCAGCTGAAATAGTAATAATTAGAATACCATTGAGACGGGACGCAAAATACTAACGATATGTCTAAAATAGAGGTTATTACCGAAAATGTCAATAACGGACACACGGGAGAGTTGCAGACGATCCAATATACCCAGTCACAGATGGTGGGACACGGGTCGTTTGGGGTTGTGTTTGAGACGCAGATCTTGCCGTCAAACGAGATAGCGGCTATTAAGAGGGTGTTACAGGACAAGCGGTTCAAGAACAGAGAGTTGCAGATCATGAAGTTGGTACACCACCGCAATATTGTGGACTTGAAGTACTATTTTTACACAAATAATGAGAAGAGTGAGTTGTACCTCAACTTAATTTTGGAGTTTGTGCCCGAAACGTTGTACAAGGCAAGCCATTATTATGTGTCTAAGAGGTTGTCGATGCCACTGTTAGAGGTGAAATTGTATACGTACCAGATGTTGCGTGCGTTGAATTACATCCATTCGCAAGGTATCTGTCATAGGGACATCAAGCCTCAGAACTTGTTGATCAACCCAGAGACGGGTGAATTGAAGTTGTGTGACTTTGGATCAGCCAAGATTTTGAATCCTGCTGAGCCAAATGTTTCTTACATTTGTTCGAGATACTACCGGGCGCCTGAATTGATCTTTGGTGCTACCAACTATACCACTAAGATTGACGTCTGGTCTGCGGGTTGTGTCATGGCAGAATTGATCTTAGGTCAACCTTTGTTCCCAGGAGAACTGGGAATTGACCAATTGGTGGAGATTATTAAGATCTTAGGTACCCCTTCGAAAGACCAGATCAAGAACATGAACCCAAATTACATGGAACACAAATTCCCTCAGATTAAACCCATCCCGTTACAGAAAATTTTCAAGAAAATGTCGAACGATTGCATCCAGTTTTTAATTAAGGTATTGCAATATTCACCTCACGAAAGAATCTCGTGCATCACTGCATTGGCCGATCCATATTTTAACGAGTTAAGAAACCAGACCACAAAACTACCAAATTATAGAAAATTATTTTCCAAGCAATATCATCAAAATTCCACTGGTGGAAGCTTAAACCATCATAACAATGCTAATTACCAGTTGTTCAACAACCAGCCGGACATTAGGGATTTACCTCAATTGTTCGACTTTGACGATCGTGAATTGTCGGTCGATCCTCTGTTGAACGACATCTTGGTTCCTGAATTCGCTTTGGATAGCTTAAAATTGTCGAGTGGTGATTTACAATCCTTCAGACCCTTGACAAGTGAAGAATTAAGAGTCACTTTGGATTAGTTATTGTCGCACTCGCGTTTACGGTACGAGTTATAGATTAACTCTCAACAGTACCTCTAATCCCATTAATAATTTTATTATTATCATGTATTATATACTATAGATAAACTACATAGGTTAATTATTTATCACTGTGTAAATGATTACTTTTATCTTGAATTATTTTAGATGCATCGTACAATACATTTTTGGAACACAGCCTTAGTTTGGCATTGATATGTAGGAACCTCAATTAATACCACGTATAAACTAACTTCCCATAATCATAACTCCCATAATTACAATCTTGGTTTAGTCACCTTCTTCTGGGTGATCTCGTTTCCCTCTTTGTTTGATTCAATCTCTGGTTTCTTAGGTTGTTTCTTCTTTCTGAAGCTGAACATACGTGTGAAAGGAATAACAAAATACTTTGCAAAGTATGGCATGAACAAAACACTAAATATAATTCTCACAGGAAATAACCCTTTTACAATAACATAAGCATATGCCCCTTCCATGATAAAATTAGCCTTTTCTTGGAGTGAAAAGTTCCGGAAATCAAATTGTGCCATCGATTTATCAATGATGTGTGTCCCCTTATCAATGGCCCATGATGGTAGATCCAACGGAATCGACCACTGGTACTTATGAAATACGTACCAAATTCCAACCAACGGCACAATGGCCGATATCTCATGAAGAATTAAAAAAGCTGTGACATGGGACACGGGCGCATGTATAAAATTCTTTGTATATGGTAGCATGAATCTGGGCATTCTCTTCAAAATAGGATGGGTTTCCACCGTTATATTACCATTATTTCTTTGATTATTACCCAAACCATCACCAAAACCTTTGCCCACTTCAACCCCACTACTAACAGCCTTTCCACCAACAACATCCTTGCCCTTTTTGCTCTTTCCGAATAGACTCAATATGGGACTCTGGTGAATTTGTCTTGTCATTATACTCCTATACTTGAGTACTGATACTGGATGAGACATCCTCGGCAACTGCTTTGTTATCCCAATCATAGTTCTTCCCCACAGATCTAAGAATATTTACCGAATAGCCGTTTTTGTTTAGCGAATCAACTATCAGTTATTTAGTTAACTAGGTAGTACTATATGGTTAATATGGTGAAAAAGGCTAACATGTAAATCTCCCAACTTGTAATCGTGCGGCCGATTCACGTCTCGTACACTCGTTTACAAAAGATATAAATTGGAAATATTCAGATTCTTTTTACAAAGAACTAGGATTTAGTGAAATTTTATTTAACAAACTAGTACTAAAAATCAAATGTCTTCAGTATACATCGTCTCAGCTGCTCGTACCCCAATTGGCGCTTTCCAAGGGGGATTATCATCGTTGACCTATTCAGATTTAGGATCACATGCGGTCCAAGCAGCTTTGAAGAAAGTTCCACAGATTAAGGCGGAAGAAGTCGAAGAAATCATCTTTGGTGGTGTTTTACAAGCTAACGTCGGCCAAGCTCCAGCTAGACAAGTTGCATTAAAGGCTGGGTTACCAGAATCGATTGTGGCCACTACTGTGAATAAGGTTTGTGCCTCGGGTATGAAATCGATTATTTTAGGAGCGCAAACGATTTTGACCGGTACAGCGGATATCGTCGTAGCGGGTGGTGCAGAATCTATGTCAAACACTCCATACTACGTTCCATCTGCTAGAGGTGGTGCCAGATACGGTGATGCTGTTATGGTTGATGGTGTTCAAAAGGATGGTTTGTTGGATGTGTATGAAAATAAGTTGATGGGTGTTGCTGCTGAAAAGTGTGCCAAGGACCACAGTTTTTCCAGAGAAGACCAAGATGAATTTGCTATCGGTTCTTACACCAAGGCTGGTAACGCACAAAAGGCCGGTAAGTTCGAAAATGAAATCGCCCCAGTTACTATCCCAGGTAAGAGAGGAAAGCCAGACGTTGTTGTCTCTAACGATGAAGAAGTTGGCAACTTCGACGAAGCTAGATTGAGATCTGCTAGAACTGTTTTCCAAAAGGAAAATGGTACCGTCACTGCCCCAAATGCTTCTTCGTTGAACGATGGTGGTGCTGCTGTTATTTTAGTTTCCGAAAAGAAGTTGAAGGAATTGAACTTGAAGCCTTTGGCTAAGATCTCTGGTTGGGGTGAAGCTGCTAGATCTCCAATTGATTTCACAATTGCTCCATCATTGGCTATTCCAAAAGCTTTGAAACATGCCAACCTTTCCATGGATGACATTGATTTCTTCGAATTAAACGAAGCCTTTTCAGTTGTTGGTTTAGCTAATGCTAAAATCTGTAACATTCCATCTAAGAAATTGAATGTTTATGGTGGTGCTGTCGCTTTAGGTCACCCATTAGGTTGTTCTGGTGCTAGAATTGTTGTCACTTTATTATCAGTCTTAGCTCAAGAAGGTGGTAAAGTTGGTATTGCTGGTGTCTGTAACGGTGGTGGTGGTGCATCTTCTATTGTTATTGAAAGATTTGACCATGACTCCAAATTATAAATATTCTAAGTTAGTTATATAGGAATTTGATATTTCAGATTAGCCTTCGATCGCGATGATGATTTTCGCTTCTTTACTTGGATATGTTTGTTTATAATTTCTTATAATCTCTTATAATCAATGACATCACTTGATCCTAGCTATATATGGGATAACTATAATCTAGATGAATTAAATAATCAATTGGTATTTGAAAAGGAAACATTATCATTCACTTTATTTAATGTAAATTTTGATAAAATCGAAAAAATTCTTACCCACTTGAAAGAATTTTTGGATCCGTTTATAGAACACTACCCATGGTTCCATTCGCCTCCCGTTTTCGAGCAATATAAGCATAATGAAATAAGTTACATATACGGGGAGTTTATATATCAAGACAGTTTGAATGATGAATGGTTGTTGACTAATCTTTTGTGGGAATTTCTGACATTTTATCCAGATTTATATATCCACCTTTGGGACTCATCAGACTTCGAATTCATATTGGTAGAAAGTTCTGATTTTATACCAGCTTGGTTGGAACCAAATAATTCTCTAAACAGAGCTTGGATAAATGACAAAACTGTTCTAATTATTAATCCAAACCAAGAGCTAAATAACTTGACACTAGAAGAGGCTTTAGATGAACTTCTCGAAGCGAATTTCCAAAAGTATCCAGCAATTGCAAGTCACTTAAATGAGAAATTATCTAAAATAAATGATACATTCTTGATCGACATAATCTATGATCTTGAAATTTCATTACCAAGCCAAGTATTACAAATATTTGCTGAAAAACCTTACTTAGTATCTCAATCAATTAGTGAGTTCGTTAAGGAATCCTTACCTCTCAATCAGAATTTAAAATCAATAAAGGATGATCTGTTAATACCTACAAAAGTTGGGGTACCCTTTTTGAGTTTAAATTTAATGAAATTCAAACAGTTGGAACTACAAACTACGAATGCTATGGAATTCGAATTTGGACTATTAGCATCCAAAATATTAACTGTGGGAATAGATAATATTATGAGACTGAATAATTGCTTGCTGAAAATTTCTGGTAAGCCATCCAATTTATCGAGAAGCGTTATTCAAGATAAACTTATAGAACAGGGAAGACTTACTCATCATATTCCAGAAAATACGGAAATCTTTAATCAGTTTGAGAATATGAGCGAAGCAGACGTGCCGACTGAATTTAATGAATCTGCATTAATAGACAGATTTAATGACTTCTTCAAAGATACAACTGCAGGATTGGATGGAATTGATAACACGAGTGATGATGAAGAAGCTGTAGATAAACCAAATTATCAACACGATAAGAGAAAAATAGACGATGATGGAGATATTGATGAGGACGACTTTTTTGAGTTTTTCTTAAAAGATGCATTGAAATTATCAGATAAGGATATTGAAGGATTTCGAAACAATACTTCGCCTACAAATTCAAAGAGAAAACTCAAGGAATTTAAAGAATATAGTAATGATAGTGATTACCAAACGGATACATCAACAGAATATGATAATGGCGAGGTAAATGACGAAAGTGATACTGAAGATGACGGTGAAGATGTAACTGATGATGAAAATACTGACGAGGAAGAACGTTATATCAAACAGTTTTTACAAAAATTAAACGGTAGTAATGATATTGATGGTTTGACGAATTTATTTAAAAGTATTAATACGGATATTGGACCTGGCTCAGTACTTTTACAACAGGGAATATCACGAAAACAGAATAAACGGAAGGGATAATGCAATAGTATAAGTTATAGATAGAATTAGAAGTAGGATAAATAATAATGCAATGACTTCTAATTTGGGATATTAATTTTTCGTTCACTTAGTTTCTGAACGGTCCATATCCAAGTTCTAGCAGCGTAATTCATATTTTTAGCAATTTTTGATGGTTCCGCTTCTGCACCATTAGTTGCAAAATATTTTCCATTATCTTCCTCGAGAGATAAATTAGGATCAAGACAGCATCTAACAGTAGCATACGAACCTTGCTCGCTAGAGACACCAAATAAATATCCAAAAATTTGAAAAAAGCACCAGAATAGTATACCTATAATAGGTAATCTAGTCCAGTACGAGAACAAATTAGTATTCATAACAAATCCGGGATGTACAGACATACACAATATCTTTGGATTTCTCAAGGCAAGCATCTTCATAAAGTGAATACCACATGTTTTAGCCAAGCCATACCTAAACCAGGTGAACACAATATTTGGTCTGTAATTAAATGTAGAATTCAAATTGAAATACTTGAAAGCTAATTGGTGACCAATTGAACTTAAGTAAATAATCTTTGGCGGGTCGCTTTTTGGAAATAATTCACTAGAGTTCTCCAAAAGCGGTAATAACATAGTAGTCAATAGAAAAGGTGAAATGTAATTAGTTTGCATCTGAATCTCAAACCCATCTTTTGTTATGGAGTACGGCAAAGCCATAACACTTGCATTATTAATTAATATATTTAAATGCTTTTCTCTAGACTTAAATGTCTCAACTGCATTCAAGACTGACGATAAGCTCAATAAGTCAATATCTAAGTAGTATAATTCTCCTAAAAATCGTTCACTAGAGGATTGTTGCGAAGTGTATTTCAGTCTTATAACCATAGCCTCTTCCTTAAGCTCATTTATAGAAGTATTTACCCTCGTTTTACTTCTAGCTGCAATATAAACAATATATCCATGGAGGTAAAGGTGTAACACAGTATACCATCCAATACCACTATTACCCCCTGTAATTAATGCCACCCGCCTATCCACATTCGGATTAAAGTAGGATATAGATTCAGGGTCAAAACTAGTCATAGGAACCCCAATTAGTACTCGATAGTATTTGTCTAAATAGAATATCCTTTTAAACTGAAAAATTATTTATCTAAATTGCGATAGTCACACACACAATTTTTTATTTTACAATTTGTCCTTTGCTACATTGAATTATAGTTGGTTAGAATACTTCGAACAGTGTCTATATATTGTATATCTATAAACAGCAACTTTTGATTTTCTACTTGTGAAAAAAGGGTAAATTTACAGATTTCATAGACACGAAAAGTTTTTGATTTCAGTGAATTATAACTTTAATGCTGATAGCGTCTCTTGATATATTTGTTGAGGTAATTTATCAGTAGTATCAACAGGTAATGCTTCTCCACCGTTTTCAATCAACTCTTCACCACAAGGAATTTCCATAATAGAGTATTGTGAACTAACCATATCAGATTTCATGAAGTGTCCAGGTCTGTTTTGTACTCTCTCAAACAAATGCTCTAATGTGGTATGTAAGAATACAAATTTGAATTGAATCTTGTCTGACAGGCTTTCTTCAGAGCACTTTTTAATATGTTCACGATACACCTTTTTAAGAATAGAGCATGACACAATTGCAATATTTGCTTTGTTAGTGGAATCAGTGCAATGTCTGGCAGAAACTTGCGCCACTTCTTTGAGCCAATCCCATCTATCGTCATCAGTCAAAGGAGTCCCTTTGGACATTTTAGCTATGTTTTGAGGTGGATGAAGCGCATCACCCTCTATAAAGGGACACTGAAAATGGGCTGCCAATAATTCTGCAATTGTGGTTTTACCAGTACCTGCTGGTCCACCTACTACTATCACAGTATTTGAAGTTGTTGTCATTGTTGTAACGTATATTTCTTATCTATTACTAGTCTATATTGTATCGAAAGGAAAAACTAACATTTAAGTATTTTCCGAAGGTTGGGGGAATTGGGGGATAAATTTTTCAAAGTGGGGGTGCGGTTTATTTACAAGACTCATGCAGCTATATACATTATCTAGGGGTATAATAATCGAGAGCTCATTTTTGTTGGCTTGAACGATATTTGAAGCTCTTTGGGTTGGATCTTCTTGGCTCAATTCCAACTGAACGAGAATTCTTGATTAATCTTCTAAGATTAAGTAACTCTTCGCTAATGCGCTTTTCGATTAAAGTTTTGGTTTCAGTAGCACTTTCTTTGTCAACAAATAATGTTGGCCATCTTTGACTTAGCCACAAAAATATTAAGACCAATTTGTGGTTCTCTTCAAGACTCTGCAAAGTCTGTACAGTCTGCTCGGTTGTGGCGGTAAACTTTGGACGTCTTTTCAATGTCTCAGTATGTAAGAAGTTGAAATCAAATATATTTTTGGTTTCACACTTTGTGATATTCTGAAAAAATTTAAGTGCTGTATCAACCACTAATGGTGACGACATATTGATATTAATAGGGGCCAAACTTAATCTCAATTGATCTTCGATAGTGGTTTTCTTGTACAAATCATTTCTCAAGAATAAATTTAAAATTTCATATCTAGAATCTAATGCAGTAATGAAAAAATTCTCCATTTCAATGCTAGTTGTCTCTTTTTCAAATTGTGCTAAAATGTCATAAAAAGAAGTATATTTTGGGAATTTGCTCATATAATATGTCCAAACCTTGTCTGTTGGCCATGTACAAGCTTTTGATAAATTCTGGATCGGCTCATTCATCATTTTTTTCAAGAATAGAAGATCTTTTTTATACATGGCAGTGACGAATCCCTCCAGCTCTCCTTCATCTTTGCTGAATCTGCCTGCCCTACCTGATATCTGCTTCGTTTCAGATGCAGTAAGAGGAATGGTTTCGTTTCCGTTAAATTTTTTAGTTGCATAAAAGACGATTCTTTTAATTTTCAAATTAAGGCCCATACCAACAGCATCTGAGGCTACTAGGACATCATAATGGCCACTATTAAAACCGTTTGCTTCTTTCGATCTGATTTCAGGTGGTAATGCCCCGTAAATAACCCCGACTTTTAAATTAGTCGATCTTTCAATTTCACATTTTAATTCTAAGATTTTTCTCTTAGAAAATGCAATAACACAATCACCTTTTTGAAGATTCTTGAAATTGTTAACTTCCTTGTTACAAACAGTTAACTTTCCTAATCTATTATACTTATTAATTTCAACTTCGTCACCAGTGATTTTAGCCAACTTTAATATTAATGGAACAGCACTTTCTTCTCCACACATATGAATTTCTTTTGCCTGAACACCCAATACAGCATTAGTCCATGCTTCTCCTCTTCTCGGATCAGCAATCATTTGAATTTCATCAATTATACAGATGTCCATTTTCTTGTGGCTGGGAATCATTTCAATAGTTCCTGAAGAGATTTCGCTTATTTTTCCAAAAGAGTCAATGGACGGGATCACTTCTTCACCAGTTATTAAATTACATTTTATGCCCTGATCATGAAACCTCTCATATATTTCTCTGGCTAATAATCTTAACGGGCCAGCATAATAACCTGATTTGGCCTTGGCCAATTTCTGCAAAGAATTATATGTCTTACCACTATTAGTTGGTCCAACATGCATAATGAACTTACGCTTCATCTTTCTTGCTTCAGGAAACCACTCAGCTGGATTAGAAAGATCTACCAACGAGTCCTGTTGTTTAGTATGCGTCAAAGACGATTCCACATATTCTTTATATATCAACTTCGTTAATATATTGGTCAAACAATCAGTCTTTGTGTTATAACCATAGAACAGGGGGAGTTGTGTCGGTATTGTGTCATTGTTAATCAGATATATAATCTGTGTTATGTTGCAGATTTTCGGATTTATATAGTCAACGAGTTTAATATCCAGTATCGGCCTGCTGTTTGATGGATCATGCAAATAAATTTCAAACTGTAACATAAGCTTCTCTGTAAATGACTCAATAAGATTATTAACTCTATCATTACTAAGGTTATTCATATTAGAAAACGGCAGTTCGAATTCCCGGTTAACTAGCTTCCAGTATATCTGCCATAAAGGCTTCTTCACAACTTCTTTTAATTGATCGAAAGGTTCTAACGCACTATTAATATTTGTAATTGGAGGACTCGTTTCGTTTATCTGCTTGAATATATTTTCCCAACCATTCGATGACTTCCTTACTTTACTAAGCGCATTGGTGTTCCTAGAAAGAAACGACGTACTGAACTGTTTAACACACCTCCCCAAAAATTTAGGTGCAACATTGGTACTCCGTATTCTTGCAAATCGGATGCTCATGCTTCTTGTCCTTTGAACCTATATGCTACCTTATAGTTTGTTAAAGACGTAAAGAATCAGATTCTTCCTGAATTTTTTGGTGATGTACTCGTGACTTGAGGGTGATTATTGGAACTACTAGCTTTAGCTTCTTTCGGTTTTGTCCAAGCACCTTATCAGTTTAAACTAGTTATTAATAAAAGCTGCAGTATTTATTTCGAGTTATCTACGAACTATTACAATCCTTTATTTGACGTGTTTGTCAGTGATTTTTATCGTTTCGAGAATTCAAGTAAATGGACAAATTGGACCCTCGTTTTAAACAATATTGATAACACAGACATTATTATCTACCATCCGAAATAGCGTGGAATAATTGTCGATTCAAATATAGAGCTAGTAGTGCATTTAATGAAAAGATTTATCTTTACTCGAACCAATATCAATAAGTTTTATTAGAAAAGCTAAAGGCTAATAAGTATTGATGAATGGGTCAAGAGTGAGCGACCAGAATACCAAAGCTCGTCTTGCTGCTCAGTTCAACCAATTCTACATACAAATCACATCACCTGAAGTTATACATATAGGCAATTATAAGATTATAAAAGAAATCGGGGAAGGTGCCTTTGGAAAAGTTTATTTGGCTAACCATGTTCTTTTGAATGTGCAAGTGGTATTGAAGTGTGGCTTGATTGACGACCCAAATATTGTTAGGGAAGTATATTACCATAGACAATTACAACACAAAAACATTGTAAAATTATATGAAGTGATAAAAACGGAAAAACACTTGTGGATGGCTCTCGAGTATTGCGAAGGAAGTGAATTGTTTTACTACATTTATGAAAAACGAAGACTCGAATATCATGAATGCCAAAATTTGTTCAACCAAATAATAACGGGAGTGAAATATGTTCATTCACTTAACCTTGCACATAGAGATTTAAAATTGGAGAATATACTTTTGGCAGATACTAAGAAATCAATAGTTAAATTGACTGACTTTGGATTTGTTCGAGAGTTTAATCCAATAAAACGTCAGTTTCTTTCTACAGTTTGCGGCACAACCGTTTATATGGCTCCTGAGCTAATCAAAAACCAGCCGTATTCAGGATTTGCCATTGATATTTGGTCTTTAGGAGTTATTCTATTCACAATGCTCTATGGTGAAATGCCCTTCGATGAAGATGACGATTTGAAAACGAAATACAAAATAATAAACGAAGAACCCATTTATAGAGATTCAGTACCGCAAGAAGCTATTGACCTTTTACGAAGAATGCTTTCCAAAGATCCGCGTTCACGGCCTAGTCTTAACGACATATCAAACTCGTCATTTTTTATTGATATAAATAATAGACATTTTGAGAAAACCAATAGATCATCTATCTATAATGATCAGGATTCTATTCTTTCGATAAGTCAACATTATAATTCCGATGCACAACCATTCCAATCAAAGATGGATCGAAATCTAATGAGGAGATTTGAGAAATTAAACATTGATACTATTCAGCTTCAACAAGATGTATTAAATGGAGAGAAAAACCCATTGACTGCATTCTATGAATTGTCTTTAGTTAGAGAGTTTACTAAGAAGAAGAGACATTATAAGGAAAAGAAAAGGAAGTATCACGAGGCAAAAAAATCATTGATAAATTCTCGTAAGAAAGTCAAAAGTGCCCTTTCCTTATCTGAGCAGGGAAGTGGTCCTCCGCCTTTAGAAAGAATCATTTCAAGTTTAAGTTTAAGCTCGAACAGAAATAGCGTCAGCAGGACAAACCTTTCAAAGGTTGGATCACGAAAGTCTATTGAATTTAGCGATCCATATAAGAGGCCTAAAGGTTCTGAGCTGAACAGAAATTCTTTAACAGGACATCGAATGAATAAGACAGTCTCTAATTTAGATCAAGACTTCATGCATAACCCTGAATTCCAAGAAACGAATGCCGAAACTGCGCCACTTACAAAAATAGTTACATTTAACCAAGATGAAATGAGAAGAAGACCTTCAAATGCTACTACCACTCTCAGTTCCACAACTGGAAGTGAAAACCTGAAAAAGAAGATTAAAAATGCTAGAATCTTTAACAAGCTTCAATTTTGGAAGAAGAACAAGAATACTAATGGTGCTGAGATAACAAGGGAGAATGCGTTGAGACCCACGGAACAGCATTATGGTAATGGGGAAAAGATTGCACTCATCAGCAATGGTCGCTCACCAAGTCCAAAGACAGATCCTAACGGAATTTACAGACATATAGTTCCAATAATCGAGACACAGGATACAACACTTGTGAATGAAAACCTGGTGCCTAATGAGAATGAAATCGAAGAAAAAAATGACCTTATCCAGGACGTAGATAATAATATGGATGAAGCGGTATTTGAATCGCCAAATAGACAAGCAACCCCAACACTGGACAATTATCCTTTGTCATCGAAATATTTAAAGACAAGACCTTCATCTGTTGTATCTCAGGTAAGCCAATTGAGCCATTTGAGCCAGCTCTCAACTATGATGTCCGAATCTGATATTCTTGGGGAAACGGATACTATGGATGAAGAAGAATATGACGAAGATGGCATCTATGAGTCGTCATTAGATAATTCGCAACAAGATTTCCCTCAAAGACATTCTTCTGTGATGAGTCCGGTTTCAGGATCATCAGCCACAACTAATACTAAACCATCGCTTATCAAGAAGCGTCCAAGTTATAGGCGAACATTATCATCAGACGTTTCAATCATGTCTACTTCGACCGCTGCCACTGGATCAAATCCTGCTCCTACCAAATCGCATCATCAAAAAAGATCATTGTCACGCTTGTCTAGTAATTCGTCGGAGGAAAGTTATTCTCAGTCCAGAAAGAGTGCCAACATGAATGGTAACTTATTCGCTTCGCCAACTCCCATAGTTCCGATGACAGAACCAGTAAATGATATTAATTCGAGTTTATCGCCTGTGCCAAATAGACCAGTGTCCCCAGAAACGACGCCACCAGCCAAAAAAATGACATTCGTTAATTCAAAGCTTTGGCGTCATTCCAGAAATACTCCTTCTCAAAACACAGCACCTCCTAAACCCAATAATATTCAGCCGTATCAGCTTCTTAATGATAATGAAACTATTACAAGGTCTCATTCACCACCAATACCAAATAAATTTAATAAACTTAAGCTGAAAAATGGACAAATTAATAATAACCAGGATCAGATGTATAACTCGAATTTTTCTGTGAAAACATCCTGGCCTAAAAATGCTAATCAGCAGGAAAATAGCGATGTAAATTATAGAAACATGCAACTAATAGATGATAATTCAGTTTGGAACAGAAACAACAATATTATGGGCCCTATAAACGGAAATAATATGTATCAAGCCAATTTTATTATTAATGAAGAGGAGGAAGATGAAAGCTAGAACCCAGAAATATTCTAAATATATATGTATATATGTATATGTGATTTTGTAGTTAACTATTGTAATATTATGTTCAAGTATAAATTCTATTTTAAAGGGGTGCGTATAAACCTCTACTAATCAGGATTGGAATATCGAAAATTTTTTTTATCTGAACAACGAGAGTTTGATTAAAGAAAGACAATTTAAACTTGAATAGTATCAACATTTTAGTACAATATTATGCCTGCTGTTATAGTTGTTGATAACGAGTTAAAAGATTCCGTTAAGGAGTATGGTCAGATTATTGATTCTGTTAATGAATCGGTTGAACTTTCCAAAACTTTACACTCTTTTTTCAATGACCAAAATAATGAAATAGTTGACAAATCGGGTTTAATTCAGAAAATCTACGAAACTTCGACAGCATCTAACTTAACTAAGTTATCAGACAGAGAATTTGAACCTACATTTAACTTGATTACTTACATTTTATCTCAACTTGAAGGATCATTTGAAAAGGTTTTAAATAAAGATTCCCAAATTATTCAAAACTTAATTGAATGTAACCCAACCAAACAACCTTTATTAAGAGATAGAAAATCTATCAAGTCAACTACTATCTTATCCATTTTAAATACCTTCTTCAATTTCTTGCCAGAAACCTCGTCAAATAGAATTCACATATTGACAACAATTTTAAGTGTTGTTGAAAAGTCGAGCATTGATTACAGTTTAATCCAGGAGCCAGTTGGAAATAACTTAGTCTTATGGTTGAAACAAGCAAATGCTACAGATGAACAAGTGAAGACTATCTTCTGGCAATTCGTTAGCTTGGATGATAAGAAGTCTTACAAATCATTACAATTGATTAAATCTTTCACATCAAATCACACATTAAACTTAAATGAATTGCACAATTTAATCAAATTTGCCTTATCGTCATCTACTACGGATGTTTCATTTTTAGTTAACAACAGTGTGGCCAGTGCGTTAAAGGATAACTCCAGCGATGAATTAGTATCGCTCTTTACCAAATACACTAGAGGTGAATTAATTACATCTGTTCCTTCTTCTTCTGGTTTATCAAGTGAAGACGTAGAACAGAAATCAAGAATCTTGGCATTAGGTAAATTTTTCGTCGACAATGATAACAAGAACGTTTTCAACTACAATGAAATCCCAACAGCATTAGCCTCATCTGCTGAAGATTTTGAGTCATTATTAATTAACTCAATTAAAGCGGGTGTTATCGAAGGTAAATTAAACCAATTGGACCAAACTTTTTACTTAACCAGAGTCCATAGATTTATCATAGCTGGTGATGATGAAAGTATTTCCAAGAATTGGGAAAACGTTAAAAATGTTTTGGTGGACTGGAAAAATTCCTTGGCCAATATTGACGATATTGTAAATACTTCGAGAGAAAATATCGTTAATAATAATAATAATTGATTGGAACCAGAACTTAAATTTAGTTTGATTCTAGTGGATTATGATGTATACTGACTAGAGAATTCTCTTGGATTCTTGTTATATTTATGTACATGATGTTATATTA